CCAGGCTCTTTTCCTGCTATTTCTGTTATGAAGTTCCATATCATCTGCCTTGTAGGAGGCAGGCCTCTTGCACAAAGGCCATCTATATATTCTACAAGCGCAGATTCCTGGATATCATTAAGGAGGCGACTGTTTTCGACTTTTTCCGTGCGGGTGCCCTGCATCCCGCGGTGATGGCGTGACAGTGTATTTCGATTAACACCGTACTTTTTGGCAACCTGTGCGTAATTAGGCTTTTCTCCAGGCTTCAGCGACTTCAACAACTCCAATGCGGCATCCATAGCGTATATATTGCGGTGGTGGTCGTCGTGTAAAAATGTCGAACATTTGGTGTTCAGCGATCGCCAGGTGGGGGCGATCGCCAGGCGGTGAGTCACGGTAGCGTGCACGCGCTGATTAAGCACGTTAGCGTCTCCCCACTTACCGCACCTTAAGTCAACTTCAACACCAACACCAACCTCCGCAAAAGAATTACCCCCTACCGAGGAATGAATTGATTCGCCGGTTGTATGCAACATCAAGCGATGTGAAAAAAAAAGTCTTGATTTCGTTTGAGGTTGGACGGCTTCCTGTTCCACAGACTTCGCCCACATGTATCCATCGAACTTACATCTCGATGCAAAAGGGGTTTCTCAGATTGCCAACCCAAGAACCCCCCAGCGATCCGAGGCTAACCATTAGAACACTAAATGTGCCAATTCTTATTCACTGCAGTATGTCCTAGAACACGGCCCATCGCAGCGTATCATTCTATCTACAAACCCATTCAATCGATCAACTTTCCCCAACAGATCCTGACTTCGATTATGTTAATTTTCATAGACTAAATCATTTCTTCTTTGAGAAACTGGATCTTAAGTGATAACCAAAATCAGACCTAACGAAGTTACTGTACATGCTTGCGCCCCAGCAGCAAAAGAACACAACCTCCATGCTCAGTAAGGTGCCAAGGGCCTAACTTCTGTTCGGTGATTTCCAAGCAGCGCAGTCGCAGTTTTTGCCCGGTCGGGCCCGTGAGCATCTTCGGTCGCTTAATTCCAGTTCCTCAGCGAGACGAGTTGTGCAAAGTTATCAGCAGCCGTTGATGGGTAAACCTGCACTTTGCACACACAACGGCAAAATCATCAAATCTGCACTTGGGAAGCATCACGCCCCCCTAACTCCGGAAACCGACCGCCTTTGATTCGAAATCCGCGCTCGTGCACTCCGTCTCAGCATTTTGCATCTCTATGAGTAAACCTGCACTGGAGCTGTAACAGTAGAACGGTGAATAATGCAAATGCAGCGAATGGTCGGGTTTAGCACGGAGATATCCGGATCCGAGAAACCGAAGATTTGCCGTATTGTAACGGTGTACATACATGTTACTCTCACAATCGGGGTTTACTCGGGCAGAAATTGCAGTCTTCTTCGACAACGAGGTCTACTTGTACAACTAAGGATTATTAACAACAGCTACACGGTATATAGGTGCGCTTCATGAATTGGGATAGATGCGCACTCCGTGTACACAGTACACAGTACTGGTAATGAATTGACGCAGAATTTTCTTATTGCTCGACCGAGGAAGGATACGGCTTCGAGTTCTATTTTTATCATACCATAGTATTACTGGTACAATTTTATCGCAATGTGAGTGAGGGATGCGATATGGATCATCTTTTCCCAACGAGACCGGGAGCGGGAGAAAAGGTACGGGGAGTTCACGGGAGTGTGCATATTCCTTTTGCCATCTATATTCTTACTGCAAATTTTCAGGGATATGGCTGTGCACAATGCCATACTACAGTATGGCATGTACGGAGTATTGGTTAGAGGACTGCAATAGGTGTACTGTGTATGCGGGTGGACGCAGTCCCTGCATGAAGCACTCAGAATCAAGGAACCGGGCTGCGCGACGAAATTTCCAAGTTTCTTCTCCTTTACAGAACCATTATTAGCAGCACCTGCTATTCGCAGCCTACCACAGTACATTCGCAAATAGTCGATCAAGTGCGTAATCCTTCGTTAAATATGATGAGAGATGCACTCGTCCCGGTACCTCCGGCGTCATGATCAACGCGACAGATGCCCATCCTATTTACACGGGAGATAGGAGTGGGCGTCAGTGATGGGAAACATGCAGACCCTGAAAATCCTGCCCCACTGATGACGGTTGAGAAGGTATTCAGGGTCCGGCATCCACCAATGAGAATTCTCGAGCCGTGTTGGCGGATCGCTCCACGGGATTGCCGCTCAGCCGGAGTTTGCCTTATTCGGGGATGATGGGGAAAAGGTAGAGGATGGAAGAACATGAACGTAAAAGGGTTTGGGATTGAAGTTTATCAGGGAGAGAGATCGTGCAGCGGGGTTGGTGATTTTTTTGAAATGTAAATTAACTTTTGGTGTGGTTCGATGGTGGGGTGGTGGTGGTGAGCGGACTCATGATGGACACGAGCATGATGTCATAGTGAATTAGCCTGGCATTCCATCGTCGGGCAGATGGGATGACAACCTGCTTACAAGCAGCTGGCAATAATGCGAAAGCGACACAACACATGAAAAGTGTTTCTCGGTACTTGTAAAATTGTTAACCAAAGACGTCCGGAAACGAAGCTCAAGATGTGGCTACTGCCACGCGGTCCAAACGTCTCGATGCGACTGTTCCTTTGGTGCTGCGCGAATCCGAGAGCCTGGATGCTTCCATTCTCGGAGTGGCCGCTGTGGCAGTGCAGCCCTACGCGGCCCATTCCGATTCAGCCCGCTTGTACTGTGTAATAATGCCGCACAGAAGCCGCGGCATGATACTCGCATCGTAACCTCATGTCCATAACGAGATGCCACTCTGTGTACTTGTAGCTGGCAGCTTTTGTTCATGCGCGGTTCCTTACGTTGATAGGGACGGTGTCCGGCGCAATCCGTCTACCTCAGTATTCGGCGACCAGACTGTAGCAGCTGATCCAGTGCTGTGAGAGCTAGTCCACGCGGACGAATAATTTCCTATGGTATGTACAGTAGTACCCGAGGCTGGCGGTATGGGGAGTAGACTATGCCCAGGTGGAACCACCTCACGGGATAGCCTAGCCTAAGCGAGAGAAGTTGTGGTGAGCATTGTGTGTCACTGTATACAGTCCCTAAACCACTGTGAAGCACTATCACCTCTCGTGCCAGTAGTCGCTTTTTAGAACTACTTGTATTGTGTACTTTCAGCTTTGTCCGGGCCATCACCGTCCAACGTCTATTGGCCGGGTGCGTTGAAGGGCCGCACCGTACAACGTTGGGGTGATTTCGTGTCATGGGAACGCGTCGTGCTGCTCAAAGAAATGTGGTGACGAATCTCCTTTTGTGCTTCAGATGGTATGACTGAAGGCGAAGACATGAACAGTTGACACCGAGGTCACGCGACGTGTCCCGTGTTGACTCTTCGGCAAGCCCCTCACCTGCTCAGCGGCTCTACTGTATCTGCAGGACGGATGGCGGCTGTACCGAGGGACTAGACGTTCAGATCCCTTAACGAGGCTTGCGTGATGCTGTGGAGGGAGGTATGCACAGCCAAGGGGCTCGCTGTTCCATCTGTTGAGCTTACGGAGTACTGTGTATTCCCATCTCCATCGCGGGCGCCGGCCGAGGAGGATGGAACTGCCGCGCCAACAAGAGCCACGTCGCAACGAGAAACGGCACGGCAACGACTGGTCGTTATTTTAGGAGGATGCATTTCGTTGTTGTTAGGCTGCGATCCGACGCTGTGCGGTTCAGAGAATTTTTTGGCGGTCATGGCCAGGCCGTGAGGCTGTGCACCTTTGCTGGGCAAGGTTCATGGTTGCGTTACAGGCTTGGCAAGCCATGACCTTGCAAGGGTACGGCTGCAAGCGGCTTCTGGAAGGAACAGATCGGCGCCCGCCGCCCCTCCACGATGAACCCTGCCATCGTCCCGGACGACTACCCATGACGCAAGCGTTAAAAACCATGGGTGAATGAAAGCCGCAATGTCGCGCAACTGCATCATCGACAAATTGCTCAGCAACAACTTGTTGAACATTCTCTGCCCCGGGCCAAAGAATATTTTTACCTCCGAGCTTCCGCGGCAAGCCGGCGTTTGTTAGTGAGCATACCAAAAGCGACGTTTCGGCTGCATTCCATCATTCTCTGCTCGATTACTCTATCACTCTCCTCGGATCCGGCCAAGTCCAACCGAGTCATACGGGTCACTTGTTCCTGCCTATAAAGTATCTCGCCACCGGCCCTGGTGCCCTTACCATTCCTTCCCAACACTATGCTAGCTTCCTCTCCGAATCCACGTAACCATCACCACCAAACGCAACAACCACCTCTCGCCACCGGTTTCACACCATCACAACCACTGTCATTTCAACAGATCTCTGAACAGCTAGCCGCTCAAGATCCATACAGCCAGCAACTACTCAATAGTTACCTCGAATCGCAAAGGCAGGCCTACAGTACGCAGGCTGCTGCACAAAACAACTTCGAAGTCAACCCATCTCAGTTCATGACGAACGCCTACGACTTTACGAACCCTGCGATCAGGATTCAGCAATCGACACCGACGGCGCAATACCCCTCGACCTTCGCGCACACCTTCATGCCATCGGCGAACAGCGCCACCGCATCTGGTTTCGATAACTGGGCGTTTTCACAAAGCAATGGACAGAGCAACGGACAGGCGCTGCAGACACCGAAGGATACCCGGACACACCAGCGCACGACTTCGTCCTCGTCAACAGCGTCCAACCGGTCTCCGAACCGAAGAGGATCAGCCACATCCTACGCGTACGTCGCGAACTCCGAGAATTTGCCTCCGTCGTCTGCGATTGAGGTTGACACATCAACCAGGGCTGACGAAGACTCAAGTGCATTCTCGAACCATCTCCCGACTCCTTCCCAGACACCGACGAACGAGGCCTTCATGAACAACAACAACTACAACTCCATTTCCATGGGCAACACCGCGCAGGCCATGGCGGCGCATCAGTCGATGAAGCAGGCGCTCATGGATCAGCACAGTGCCGAGGATGAGGTGCCGGGCTTCGCACACTCTGCACGGCAGTCAGTGTCCAGCTACGGGCACGACTCACCGGCAACACCTCGTACAACGCACGAAGACCTTGAGGAGAGGTTCAGGATGGCTCCTAACGGTGAGACTCCTCTGCGCAAAGTCGATTCATGGCTTTTCGACGAGTTCCTGACTTACGATGATGACGCAGAGATGCGACCGCACAACACCATTTCGAAGATGGAGGGAACCTATCCGGGAGCGTCAATGGAGGGTCTCTATGACGGCGCCTCCATCATTCCTTCTTCGCAGCCGATGGTGCCAACGGCAGCCGCGCAGCCCGGGACGCTTCTGTCGCCGTTCCGACACCAGAACCCCAATACCCTCATGCAAAGCCGGTTGCAGGCAGCGCAGAACGCGCGGTCGCAGTCGCCGTCAAGCAATGTGGGTCGCGCAGTGTCGCCATTTCGACAAAACTCGCCCTACGTAAACTCTCCCCACTTCCGCGTCGGCACTGTCGCAGAGCAGCGCGAGCAGACGCTCGAGGCTGATGCGGCGCATGCGATGAAGGCAAACGTTGCAGAGGAGCCGAAGACGATATCGCCCAAGGATGCGTTGTTGGACTACCATGAAGCCGAGGAGGACTCCAAGATGCCTTTGTTTCCGCAAGGTGGTCCGAGCGAGTACGGAAACTACGGTGGCGACTACCGGAACGCCACCCAACCCACCTTTGACTCGACCACGACCACCACCACCACCGAGCCCAACTATCAGAGAAACGCGACAAACAGCTGGGCAACGCCGCAGTTCTCCAACAATTTCCCCGTGTCCGCCACTGCTTCGACGTCTGCGCCATTCACCTTCGCCACCCCTGCGGCACTCTCTGGAAACCTCAACGGGCTGCCCTGGTCCGCTACCTCGCAGTACCGTCCGCTACCCACGAGCATGCCTTCCGCCACCGACGCAACCCCAGAGTTCCCGGCACATCTCACGACTATGGAGTCCAGCGCGAGCGAGGCTGAACCTCAGGGTTCGCAGACGTCCTCGGACCAGCTCAAGAAGCCCGCTTCGTCGGCAGCAGACACGGGTACGTACACGTGCACCTACCACGGCTGCACGTTGCGCTTCGAGACGCCGCAGAAGCTGCAGAAGCACAAGCGTGAGGGCCATCGCAATGCCGCACCCACTTCGACTCCGGTAGGCTCGAGCATGTCTTCGGCAGCCCTGCTCGAGCGCAATTCTCAGGCCGGCCCTCACAAGTGCGAACGCATCAATCCCACCACGGGCAAGCCCTGCAACACCATCTTCTCGCGTCCTTACGACCTCACCAGGCACGAGGATACGATCCACAACGCCCGCAAGCAAAAGGTCCGCTGCGCACTCTGTACTGAGGAAAAGACCTTCTCCCGCAACGACGCCCTGACCCGCCATATGGTAAGAGTCCACGGCCGACGCCGCTAGACGAAGTGACAGCATGCTAACGCGTCCCAGCGTGTTGTCCATCCTGAGATCGACTTCCCCGGCAAGCACAGGCGCCGCGGAGCGACGCACGACTGAAGCGGCCGATGCTGATGGCGGTTTGCTGTTGTCCGACGCCATCGTTCCCTTGGACGATCTCTGTTGGTGCGGTCTTGTCCGCCGACCACCTCGGCACACGCCGCAGACGCTCGGTCCACCCGATACGTCCACTCCCCATACATGGGGCGCTCCAGAACGCAACTTGACGTTGCTCGCACCCCTTCGCTAATGGGTGCCGTCCAACGCGACTATCCGGCCCACTTCACTTTCCTGGGCTCCATGGGATTTCCTCTGTCTAGCCCTCTGCCCTCCTTGCTTCCACGTCACGCAAGGCCGGACAGGGCTCGTCGTCGGAGGTTCAGCCCCGCTTTTACGATATCGTCTTCTTCACCTGTTTCTCCAGCATTGAAACAGGCTGGGCAGGTACGATGAATTGCATGACTGAAAGGCTATAACGCACGATAATTTCACGAGTTTCCTTTGTAATGGCGATGTCACACTAGATGGTACATGGTTTTGGATCACGGCGGCGTTTATCATCATTTCTTCGTTTCAATTTCAACATTTACAAGGAAAGCAACCCATGACATGTGTACGAATACGGTATCAGCACGCAAAAGTATGGTTTGGCGCTTTGGTCGGTTACCAGGTCTTGTTCTCGCTCATACTCAGGGCTCAGCTGTATACCCAAGGTTCTGGCCTAAGAGATTGTCGCCTAGATTGTGTATGCATGGGCATATAGAGGTATATTAATATGTACAACATTAATCATCAGACTCATTATTATCTATAGTCGACTCGGTGCGTTGCGGTCGTGTTACTTGTCAATGCAGTGGTTCAACAGTTAGTGTTTCCATGGTCAAGGGCTGATAAAGCCACTCTCGTAATCAGCCCTAGAGATACCGCATAGCAGGCAGGCTTCCAGCTATACAAGCGGTCATGTGCTACTAGTCCATGTTTCCTACATCCGCCACGGTAGCTGGGAATGATGACAGGAGCGTGACCTACGTAACGAATCGATGTAGTGCACATGAATGGCAAGCCAGTTTTCCGACGGGGAGCTTTCATGGCCCCCTTCAGCTATTTTGCGAAGACACCAGAGCTGAATCTAGACCGCGGAATCAACTCGGTTCATCACACCGTTTATACTGGGTATATCGCAAGCGGTGCCGAACAAGGTAGTCCCATCCCCGACTACTCTTATGGCAGAGGACGCGCGTTAAGCCGCAGCTGAAGTGCATTAGCAACGCTGACTGCAGCCGCGGCCGCAGCCGCAGCCGCATCTGAATCTGCGTTTGAATCCGCATCCTGGTTTGAATTCAGATCTAGATCAAGATCTCGCCCGGGCATATCAAACCGAGAGGAGAGGGTCTCGGCTATGCTATGGGGTTTGAGTTTTGGCAATGGCTAAATGCGAGGATGGGAAATGTGAAGTACAGATTAGATCAGATGGCAGCGCTTCATCGTTTGGCCCGTTGTGGAGGTGTACAAAGGTTTACTGTGTAGGTAGGGTGCGTTGAGATGAGATGAGATCAGACGGAGATCTGAATCGAGATCTATATCGATGTCGACATTGGATCTATCGTGCATCGTTGTATGTAGGTAATGCTTAGATGAAGCCCCAGCCGTGCTCTCGTCGCGAGCGTGACGACAGCACAGGCGCACATGACGGTCGAAACATGGGGATAATCATACATAATTTACTACGAAAAACGTACTACCTCTACCATTTTAGAGCAAAAATGGCTCAAGAAACGACCTCGGGAGGCATGGTGTAGTAGTCACGAGACAATATCTTCCCCCGCACGTGCGGGGCCCTGTCTGGGAAGGTTGGTGAATTACAATGAAGGTCGAATGATGGCATGATTGGAGAATTGTATTATCGCCTCTAGAAAACAGTCATTCTTGCGAAAAATTAGTTTCAGAGTTTCAAAGCTCGATTTTCAATAAATCACATGATTACCCATTCACCACCTCTTCTCTTCATGACGTCAGAAGTCACCGCTCCCAATCAGTCCCCCCACCTCACCCCACACGTGGCTATGCGAATTTCGTGACACCTACATACACGAGAATCAGACGGCCCGTCCCCAGTTTTCTCGTTGAAACAACACCCTCACAGTGATCACAGTGACACGTTCGCTAAACCCCTCTTCCTCAATTTCGATTGCCTACGTAGGTAGGTACCGCCGCGTGTCGTCGTGCTGCTCAGTGAGCAGCCATTGTCGTCATGCGTGCGCATATCACAGCAATCGAGATCGTAGACCTCGTGTCTAAGATGTCAGTACCGTAGGCCAAGAGCACTGGGCTCCAGGACAGTGGGACGGACGACGGGAAGAGCTGTTGGGGTAGGAGTAAAGTTTGCGTGTTTGTGGGGTAGGGGAAGAGGGACGGTAGTTACAATAGGTGGAGAGTACTATGTCATCACGGCTTCAGAGCTTCATTCTCGACTTGGTTTGCGAGAGCCATGGTGACGATGGTGACGATGGTGACGAAGGTGTCGAGGTGTCGAGATGTGGGTAGTTGGGTTTGGATGCCGAGGTGAGGTACGGCAGTGCCCGCCGCGGGCTTTCTCAATTGGTCGGGGAGGTAGACTACCTACCAGTAGGGCGGTGGATAGCGTCGTTCTGAGGTACCGCTAGACACTGGTCCGGGTTAGGTGCTCTGTGCACTAACGTGTAGTCCCGTGGTGTGACCGGTGTCCCGGAAACGATATCCTTCCTCTCATATCCAAGGAGACGAAAGGGTCTACCGCGGGACGGTGACCATCACGGAATCCAAAGGCTTTACCATGAGACATGATCATCGAAAAGGATACTATGTGAGCTACATAACGGTGACTTGGTCCACTTTTAGCTGGAGGAACTAAGACTAGCATTACATCGAGGCCGTAGACAGGACATACACCGTTGTATGATTGAAGCAGTCAGCCCCCAATTCTATATCTACTATCTTGCTCTTCCTCCCCTTTCTCGTGACCACCGCCAGTGGTCCAAAATCCGAGTGACTAAGTCTCCTGCATTCCAACCGCACGACTAGGACGCCTCCCTCGCTAAGTATTCCTATGATACAGCCAAAGCATCTACAACTAAGTAGAAGTCTCGTGCACCCACACCGCTCCTCAACAACTGCTACTGAATTCCGTTGGCATCGTTGCAAAAATAGCTAAATTTGGCGAGCCGCCTATTTTAATCCAATTGATCTTCCCTTTTTTCCTCCATCCAGATGATAAACGGTCAACCCCCTGAACACGGCTTCCGCAAACGTCAATGCAACGCGAGTGTCAGCCGCAGTGATTTCATCAGCAACGCCAAAGTAAACACGCTACATGTCTTGCACAACTGTGTCAGAGCTTTGCAAAGCACAAGTGCTATCTGATTGCTCAGCCGCCATCCTAACTGATACAATGTCTATGTCACAAGCTGGCCGTCCACTAAGACAAACCCAAATTCCCGTGAAGCCCTTCCATCAGAGCACCATGATGCCGTGGAATCTTTAGCCAGAGATACTTGCCTCCGTAAGCAGTCCTTCACTGCTTCACACCAGCTTTCCCCTTCGAGCTTGGAGTTCTTTGGGCGTGGTGAGCTCGATTCCGGGGCAGCTCAGGAATATTATGGCAGCTGGCCTCCTTCCGTCGAATTATCTTCTGTCTTCTGCTCTTGTGTTCGTCCTGGGGACCCCTCTTTCATCTGCGCGGAGGCTTGCTCTGAGCTGCCCTCTGCCCTCTTCTCTTGTGCTTGTCCTGGGGCTTCTCCTTACATCTGCGTGGAAGTTCGCTCTGACCCGTCCTCTGTCCTCTGTGCGATAATTTGCTTGCTCGTGACTCGGCTCTTGATCCAGCTCAAGAACCTGCACTAGTCTTTGGGTCATCCTCTGAACTTGTCTCAGCGCTCCACCTCGTGCTTCACGTTGCAATGGACTTCGCCCTCGGACTTCCTCTCGGAATATATCTTGGGAACTCCTCCGACGATCTTCATGGCTGCCGTTCCTTGGTGCTCCCGACGGCCGTCGACTCATCCGCCTTTCTAGAGCCTCAAAAGGGGACAGGAATGTCGGCCCTCGAACAGTCGGTTCATTGAACTCCAGCCACAATCTGTCCAACTCTTCGAATACGTTGATGTCGCCCATGACGTGGCCCTCAAGCATAGACAGGAATGTCTCGGGCCATGTTCGACCATCGATCACCAGATTCGACAGGTCCCTATGTGGAAGCAGGCCTCCATGGGTCCTGTCCCCCTCTAGTGCGTGCAAGAGGGTCCTGGCAAAGGCTTGGTTAGGATCGTCATCGAATCCTGGCCAGATTGCCGCTTGTCGAATGTATTGACATGCACAGAGCAAGGCCAGTGCTGTTTCGTGGCCGTGGAGTCCCAATCTAGGACCACAGGCGTTCCAGACGAAACCATGGCTGGGGATCGCACTATAATCAAGGAAGAAGTCGATCAAGTGTCCAAGGCTTTGGCGCATCAGATCGACGGCCCCTAATTCCTGGCCTAGGATGAAGAGTTCCATCCATCCTACCAAGCGAGGGGGATCCGGGAGTGTGCCTTCCGAGATGTTGTTTCCGGCTTCAAGGAGGATCTCGCCCCCCAGAAGTAGATCTCCCGTCATCGTCCAGATACGGAATAATTTCATAACCCACGGTGTGCACTTCTGGTAAGACCAGTTTACCGGTAACTGCGGGTTGTCTGGTGTCATCGCCTTATGCCAGTTCGCGCACGTCTTGCACAGTGTTTCCGTGTCGATAAAAGTCACACCACTTCCCGTCCACACCCAAATGCGAGGCGGCAAGGGTCCGAGTCGGTTTCGTCTGGCGAAATGGACTAACGTGGTATCATCGCTGTTCGACGGTTCACCTGATGCCTGTGGAGCTCTTAGTGGAATGACGAAGCCACTTCGGTTGGGATAGTTCAAGTCATTGTAATTCCGCTGCTCGGGATTGCGGTTCTGTTCAGCCATCGCTTTGGGGGGAGTCACACAGTGTCCGACAGGGCTGAGCGGGGCCTCAGGCGATGGGGCAGTAAACTACGTCAGCCTTACGCTTACCATGGTAAAATTGAGAAGCTGTCAGGGAGAAAGAGACTCGGACTCACTGGACGGTTGACCCAAGTGAGGGGTGATTGAACGGCAGGACTGGTGTGTTCGCTGTCGGAGAGGGACACAGTTTGTAGTGAATGGGTAGCTATAGAGCTGATGACAGATTCGAGATATCAAATATGTGGTAAAGATGCTGCAGTACGAAAGTGTGCTAAAGTTAATGATATCGACAATGCGAATGTAATAAATATGGAGCGGTCGTGCAGGTGGAGAGAAAGGACGGTGACTGCCAGACGGAGCGAGGAAAGGGCTTGGAAGTCTGCTGGTGGATGAGGAAACGGCACTGGTGGCGGCTTGCCTGCCTTGTAGTTTGGAGAAGAGCGTGAAAAGGTGTGTACAGTCAGCCACACCTTGAACTTCGAAGCATATGCTCTAAGGAAGCGTACGAGCTGGCGGGATGTTAGCATTCGAAACCCGGATTATGGCTAATTCGAATGCACCCAAAGAGTATGGAATCAGTGTTGGACTCATACCATGCACGAAACTCACCTTGTGGTATCCAACATTTTGAGTTTCATCTGCCATATACAAAGTGCTTTCGTCTTCGAAGCTGCACCCTTTCCTGATCTTACTGTGCACCAGTTTCTTCCTTCAATCCATGCTGAGCCGTTGAAGCATGCGAATTGGGTATGATCCCGATGCAATAGGGATCCCGTAATCAAGAGAACTGTCCGCCGCAAGACCACAATCCTACAAGGTAGCCCAACAGCACCGTCGCCTTCCCTCCCAGCCAATATTCACAATCTCCCAATCCCTAAGTAACCCCACGCTCACCAATCTCACTTGTTCGCAGCCTTTCCCGCACCCACTTTCCAATCCATCATGTCTTGGTCCCCCATTCCATTCCATACCCCATCTCCTAGTTCCCCGCCCCCGACAGCCTCAAGACAAAATTCACCACCACAGCCGCAAACAACGCCAGTGTCAACACCGTCGGCCCCAACCGATCATCAAACCCTCCCTGCCCCCGAATCCGGATACTTCTCGCCCTCCAATGGAACGTGAACAGCGCATATGCCATGGCCGCGACCGCAACCAGTGTGAAAAGCCCGGCGGAAATGCGGCCGATGCGGTCGCCAAAGTTGAGGAGGCCGATGGCCAAGCCGCCGAGGATGACGCTGAAGTTGAGCCAGGAGAGGAAGGTACGTTCGTTGGCGAAGAAGACTTTGGGTTCGACGCGTGTGGGGAGGGCGATGCGCTTCCCTGCGGAGGGTTAGTTGAGGGCGCATTGGTGTTTTGGAACTGGGATTGGGTTCGGCAATCGGGAATTGGGATTGAAGTCAAAGAAGGTAGAATCAAGGAGGAGCAGAAGAAGAACCCGTACCTGGCGCGGTCTGGAGGAGAGGTTGGCTTGACATTTTGCGGTTATCTCGTTGCAGTATCCTGGCCTGGACGCCACAGGCACAATGACGAAATGAAGGTTTCCCAGCAAAAGTAAAAAGATAGAAATGATAAGTTTAATAAAGATCCAACAGTATTATGTACCAAAGGACAAGGAATGAGTCGTCAATAGCCGTCGGCTCTTAATAAGTCGAAGTGCCAAAATCCTGCCGCAAGGTCAAAGATACTGGCTTTGGAGCTTCCGACCTGGCGACAGGCTGGGCGGGAAGGCACGTTGCTCCATGCACGTCTCTGATTCGGTTCATTTGACGTCGCCACCAAGAAAGGTTTAGCGGCTTTCTAGCCAGGCCTACCACGTGACAGCTACCCGAATCTGGCCTACAACGCAAATCCCTTGGCGAAGCAGTTTGAGCTGTTTGTTTTTGTTGGCGCTAGAGGTCAACGTCGACAGTGTAAACACCAGTTGCCGTCCAGATACAGGAAACATCTCTCCCATACCCATTCTTATCTAGTGTCTACCGAAGGAGCTCCGTCTACCTTTCTAGGACGTCTAATATCATCACTCATCGAGTCTTTCCATCACAATGGCTGTATGTTCTGTCGTCGTCGTCTCATCTCAACCCCCTACAACCCACCACGACACCCCTTCAAAACCCATTCGGACAAGGCAAACTAACAAACCCCCCAGGCCCCCCTTCAAACCACCGAGCTCCAAGAAATCGCTCAGAATGTAAGTTCCCTAACATTCTCTACTAAATCCCGAATCCATGGAAAAGGAACTAACACATCAACCCCACCCCACCAGGCCTGCACCACCGTCCTCGGCTCCGCAACAAAATACGACCACTCGTCCGTCGCAGGCTGGAACACCGAAATCATCGTACGTCCCTCCGTACCTCCGACCCCTCTATCCCATTTCAATTTACCTACTTACGCCTTCCCTTCGCCACTCCTCCCTCACCCCTGAATCCCCCCTTCAACTTCAATCCCCACAAAAAAAGCGAATCTCAGACAACAACATCTAACTTCCCCAGAACACAATCCTACAATCCCTAATCTCCCGCACTACCCCCTCCTCCTCCTCCGGCTCCTCCGACACCCCCGCCCCGCAATACAAGTACATCGTCAACTCGACGATAATCCAGCACCCTTCGGCTCCGTCGGGTAGCGGCGAGCACGCCGGTCGCCGCGGCATGCACAGCGCGGTGGGTGCGTACTGGAACAATGAGCGCGACGGGACGTGGAGCTTCAAGTGGGAGGGGGCTGAGGAGAGGGGCATGGATGTCGTGGTGAGTGTGACGTGGGTTGGTGTCTAGAGTGGAGCGTCTATGAAAGGATCGTTGATGTCGGGAAGAAGAAAAGGGGAGGGGAAGGAAGATGTGCGTTGGGAAGAACATGTTGTGACTGTGGAGTGAAGAGTATATATTTCACAACTTGGAATGCTGAGTTTGGTGTCAGAATGTTGTCCTGTTCTTTTCCTGCATCATCTGCTCGAACGTCTGCAGTCGTGAGTGAGTCTTGCCTCTTGCCTTGGGCCTCATTTCGTACGCTGCGTTATTCCGTTGGCATACATGTACGACGACTCGACTCGCTGGCATGTACACCTCCAGTGTCTCAAGCCAAAGCACACCATCATTTTCTCACTTGTAACAGCCCCGAAAAAGCAAATCATCGTATTAGACGTAGCATCATCCACCCATCCAGTCGTGTACGTCATCTATGTACGCATAGCGCGCCCGCCGGCACCTGTATATCGCGATACCATTGCTCGCCTTGTACCACCACACCCGGACTCGAACTTCTTGCTTGCAGCACGGCTGACCCGCTGACCCGCTCAACTGCTGGAACGCTGAATATCAAACCGACCACTGAGAAACCAGGAACCAAAAAAGGTGAACAGGAGAGAGAGGAAACTGATGATTTGGGCCTAGGCCTTGGAACCCTCGGTCTTGGTGCCGACCCCATCGTTGCGGTTGCTGCTTATCCGGTCGCCGGAAGCACTCTCCTCATGTTTCTTCAGCATAGCCGCGACATCCGCACCCGACGCCTTGCCGCCATTCTTCTCGGTGATCAGCCCCTTCAACCACGCATTCTCCGTCTCGAGCTGCTGAATCCTTGTCTCGAGCACGCTGACCCGCTCACTCATCTCCTTGGCCGTCTTCTCCAGCTGCTGCTCGCGTTGCTTTTTTTTGATGCGGAACCTCGCACTGGCGGCCGTGTTGCGGCGACGTTTGTCTTCCTCTGCAGCCAGGCGCGCGGCCTCGTCAATGGAGTGTTGAGACGGAGGTTGCTGAGGTTCGACAATGTGGCTGTGTTTGCGCTTCTTCCCGGCGTCGGAGAAGCCGGGCGATATGGGAGAACCGTTGCCGCTGGTGGGGGAGGTGGTGAAGTTGGGTGGAATGGGGTAGGCTTGAGGTTGGGGGTGCTGCAATGAGGGCATGGGTTGCTGGTCCACGATGGGATGCTGGAAGCTGGTGAAGTCGAAATCGAAGCTGCCTGCGAAGGGGTCGAAGTCAGCCATGGTGGTTGTGATATGGGACGACATGAGGTGAGATGGAATGTAAAAACGGTTCAGAGTGGTGTGGGCGAGAGGTGAAGGTAAGGCTGCCGGAGCACAGGGGCAATTGCGTGCTCCGCAACGAAGATTCGCTGCTCCTGCAAACCACAGCACCACATCCCCAGACGAGCATGGCGGATGCTGGGGTCGAGGCTTGCAGCCGCGCAACCCGCACCCATCGACGGGCTGTGAGTGGTTGGGGAGCGTGGGGTGTCATTGAATGTGGTGCAGGGTGGGAAGGGCGGGGTGTGCAGCGACCCTGAGCGGGCGCTGATTGGCCAACGAGAGGAGATTTTGGAGGAGTAAATTGAAGCATCGAGGGACGAGGACGAAGAAGGCCAATAAAGGACAGAGAGACGAGGTGATGATGATAATGATGCAAAATAGAAATGAAGTAGGACGAGACAACATGACAGATAACACTCACCATTGAAGTTGAGGTTGAGCTGCGTGTCGGTGCCCGCAGGCTGGTCGAAAGTATTCATGTTGAAGCCTTGGGCCGGTGCTGGGGCTACGTCGAAATTGTCACCGCCGTCCCAGTTGACAAACTCGGAGTTGGTAAAGAGGGCCAGGTCCTCTTCGAAGTTGGGTGGAGAGTCGAACGTGTCGTCGGCTGAGGGTACCGTGTTCAGTTGGGCGATGTACTGGGAGACGTTTACACCGCGACGTGCTGGGAAGTCGGACATGGTGGTGGACAGGAAGGAGGATGTCCTAGGAGGAATGAGGTCGTTGACAAGTGTGTGCAGCCGGGCCGTTGGATCTTGTAACTCCTGTTGTCTGTGTCCTGCGATGGTCGAAGACAGCTCGCTGGTCGGAGGGCGTACTCGGTAGGTGGTTGCGTCAGATGAGTAATACAAAAGCGAGAGCCGGGGAGAAAGGCTGCAAGTGGGATGGAGGGGGGCAGGAACCGGCGGGAACGGTCCCTCAGCGGAGCAACGGTTTGTTGGCCAGTATGTACTGTATCTGTGCAACGAGTGTAGCAGGTTCAGCAGGTGTGCAATGGTTGTTGCAACGAGCAATTGAGGGGGGAATTTGCGATGGTCTGCCTGGTGGTGGTGGGTTTGGTGGAGTCTTTGAAATGGCCCGCGCTATCAATCGGCCGGGCAAACTCGTCCTGCCGGAGGGGCGATCCGGACTCGAACCACTTGTTTCCTCCCCCCGCGCTCGTGCGGTTGGACGTTCGTACCGAGCGTGGGGTTCATTCACGACCCTGGCGCCGGCAAACCCAAACTGGTCCTAGCGCTGATCTGCTGCGGCTACCGTTCTTTGATCTCTTCTTCGAACCCGCGATTTGACGAAACTCACAAGGCTTTAAGACCCCGCAATCACGTTCGAGACAGGCGTGAGGGCTTTTGAATGCGCCTTTGTCGGTCTGAAAGAGCTCTTGTTGTGGTAGTTGTGGAACTGCTGCCGAGTCCCTGGTTTTACCGGCTGGAATGCCGAGATTTACCCGTCAGTCCAGTCCCTCTTGGCAAAGGCTTCCGTCTTCAGCGACAAGTCGATTCACGTAACACGACGAGAAGATGCACGTGTATGCGCCATTACATGAGATGAGCTGCATGATGACAAATGTCAGTGATCCAGCAAAACACACAGCCAGTTGGCCAACAAAACCTTTGTAATCAGACGTCTATCTTTGGAACCTACCATTCTTTCTTCTTTGAGGAATCCGAAATTATCACGTGATCTTGGGCAACGACGCGCAACTACCGCGTGCTATCGATAACAGCAGACAACGAAGCGCATCAACACCACCAGGGGACCCAGACTGTATTACCACGTCCAGACCTGCCCTCCATTCTCCATGTAGCCCAGCATGGCGAACCCGGCTCCTCCACCCACTCTGCCCGACCTCAAGAACATCCCGCACGCCCACCGTCTCCCAACCACGCACCGCGACGTCGTCCGCACCTTTTCCAAGCTCTCGCGCCAATCCCTCATCTCCCTGGCCCAGCAATGGCTCGCGAAGAAGAACCGCGATTTCTGCCGCCCCTACTTCGCCGGCGACGATCCCAGCATCGAGAACGATGTCGATGAGACGTACGCCCCCGCGCATAGCTACGACGAGCTCCAGGAGACATACAAGGTGCTGACGGCGCGCAAGGGCGGCCGAAAGGAAGTCATGGATCGGATTCTCGAGGGAGATTGGCGCTCAGGTATATCAATGTACCAGCTCGCAACCGCGGAGATCCAGCATCTTCTCGACCATCCGACGATCCTGCGCTGGACCGCCAAACGCATGACGCGCGTACAGAATTCGCGAACCGCCAAAGACAATATTGACGAAGTGACCAACGAGTCCGAACACCTCCCCCGCTTCCAGGCCCAGACCTTCCTCATGAATCTAGCTCGAGAGCTGACCCCGGTCCTAAAAGCCCACTACCTCATAACGCGCATCAAAACGCTCCCCCTGACCATTCTCCGCGTCTACATCCACGACTCCCCTTACAGCTCCGAAGCCTCGCTCTCCACCTCCAATTCCTCAAAACCCTCCACCCCGGACTCCGCCCGGGCCGTTTTCTTCATCTGGCCACACGCCTCACCCTTCCTCTTCGTCTCCATAGCCACCCACACCGGCCAGGTCGTCGGCGACGAAGGCCGCCAACTCCGCGACCTCGTTCTGCAAGCCATCCCCGCCGCCTTCTCACGCCCCAATAGAAGATACCAACTCGTGCCCACGAATTTCACAACCAAGAGCCTATCGGCTCTGCTGGCATATCGGGGCCCCGGGAAAACAAATGCTGCGGGCGGGGGATTTAGCATCTTTGCGGATCACAGTTTTAGCCAGAATGCGCTGGATTTCGTGGCCACGGGCAGGCCGGTACCGACAACGTCCTCAGATAAACCTGCGGAGGGTAATAGTAATACCGCGTCCACTCCTGGTGCTCCGAAACGGGGCCCAGGCCGGCCGAGGAGACTGCTCGATGCATCGGAGACGGCGGAGTCGAGTAAGAGGCGGAAAATCGCGCAGGGCCGGTTTGGCAGTTCGGCCAAGGCGGACGATGGGTTGGGGGTTGAGCGGTTCGATGTGAGAATTGATGATCCCTTTCCTAAGGTACCACGTGGAACCGCTCAACAGGAGGATGAGGGAGAAGACGCAGAAGAGCAAGGGGAGGACGAAGACGCATGGGTCCCCGATATACGAATTAGTTTCCAAGGACCGCACGTCTTTGCTGGTATCAGGGAATTGGTGGAGCACGGCGTCATTGATGGGGAAAAGATGCCGGGTTGGATGACGGGCGAGGCGGGCGTGACAATTGGGACGGTGAAGAATGGGCGGATACGGGCGAAAGGGGCGGTGCCGGGTGTATGAAAGGGAAGGGAAGAGGAGTGAAGAGAGACGAGATGCGTATGGCGTTCTTTGGATTCAATACCCCGGTTGTCGCTGGTATTTCTATGGTTCTGCGGGTTTACGTCTGGCGTTGGGTCGTGGCGCTTGTACATCCAGGGCGTTGTTTATGGGTCAATCGCGAGGGCCGACGGTCCCTTACAGTTGGGTTTCAGGGGTCCGGATTCGACCTCTTGTTTTTAGTTCTTTTCGCATTGGCTTGGCTGTGCGCAGTCTTAACGTACATCATGACGTTTCGTAGTCGTAGTTCAGACATAAAATTGTTGAAGCCCAGTTACTTATCCGTCTTTCGGCGACTGCTCCTCCTCAGCCCTTGAGGCGATGCATCTGCTCTAGCTTTCCCACTCTCCGCCTCCCTCTTCTTCCTCTTCACGCCAATCAATCCTGCGGCTTTCGTCTCCTCAGCTTTTCTCTTACCCACCCTCCCACCACCATCGCCACCCCTAGCTCTGACATCTTCCTCTTTCCCCTCGAGTTCCACATCCCCTCCCTCCCTCCTCTCCTCTCCCCCATCCCTCGTCCCTAGGTCCCTCCCCTCGTCACCGAAATCCCCTCCAACATCCACGCCCTCCCGTCCAAGCACCCACGCCACTTTCTCCGCCTCAACAGCACTCACCCCCAACCTCCCTCTCAACTCCCCCACTCCTGCAACCAGGGCCTCGTATTCTCTGACATTATACTTAATCACACGTTTCCATCCCTGCGCCTTACCCGTCCCCGTTCCAGCTTCAGCCCACATCGCCCACATCGCCCACCTAAACAGCTCGTCGGAGAAAAACGGTACTTTCCCCGGCGCATACACGGATAGTAAGAGCGATGCGGTTGCGGGGCCGATGCCGCGTAGGCCCGTGAGGATCTTGAGTGCGGCTAGGATGGCTTTGGGATCGGGATCGGGATCGGGATCAAGGTCGGGACCGGGAGCGGCATCCTTTTTGGCGTCTGTGAAGAGAGAAAAGGCGTCTTTTGTCGTCTGTTCTATCTGGGCTGCGGGATTCGACTGAACGAGTTGGAGGAGTTTGGACCGGAAGGTGCCGTGTTTTCTACGCGGGGGATTTTGGCATCGGTTAGTTCGTTCTTTGGTGCGGGACACGCAACCTTTTTCTCCTTTTCCTTCTCTCGCTGTTCAGAGGTCGAGCGGAGAGTAATATATAAGAAATAGATGTCCTTCGTAAGACTTGTGTATGGGTGTCTTGGTGTATATATGCATAAGAAAACGATACAAGACGTACAATTTCCACTCAACCAACCTCAGCACCTCGTCCTTCCTCAAGCCTACCTCCCCCTTCCCCTCTACTTCCTCTCTCCTCTTGGCCAAAGTCGCCGGAATGGTCTCGTATCGCGCATCGTCCAACTCGCGCAATGTTTCCGGCACTGAAGCGGGATACCTCGACAGGATTTTTTGGAACGCGGAAAGGGTAATGGTGGAGATCAGTAATGAAGGCATGGATTTCGTAGGTGCTTGGTACGGGAAGTAGGGAGATTGATTTAGCTTCTAGAGCTGAGGGATAGGGTAAACGTGTGTATCCTGCGGGTCAGATGATGGATGACCTTGATGGAGGTGACGCGTGGACGTTGAGAGAGGCGCCTTGGGGACGCGAGCGCACGTGAGAGTAGAGGTCTTTGGGATCGCAAAATATGAACGTTACAGACAACAGGCGAAAGACTATAACTGTCCTCTCTGTGATTCGATAGCGTTGGAGTAGGATAAGCTTTAGTGATAAATTCTGCTGGTCTTCAACCGCATGGAATGTGTAAGCACTGTGAGGCTCCCTCACACCCTCACCACTTCCTCCATCCATTAGAGGACACCACAATACTGGAAACTCATATCTCAAATCAGCCCACATACCACATAAGACTCTCCAAGCCACCCACCGGCAAAACTCTGAATAGTAAAGAATTAAACCAAAAGCAAGAGAACCTCAACCCCACCACCCCCAGTCCGCCTCCATTCTGAACCCCAAACCCTCCTATCATCGAATTACCTCAACCCACACTCTTCCTCGGTCTACCTCTCCCCCTCTTCCCCACAACCGCTCCCCCTCTGCTCGGCACCACCCTCCCACTCCCTGGCGGCCTGCCCGGTCCCCTCTTCGGTGTCGCCGCCGCCGCCGCCGTGGCAGGGATCTCATCCTCGCTATCACTGTCTGAGAAATCCGACAAATCGACTGTCACTCGCTCCTTCATTGACGCGAGGTTCGAACCAAGTACATTGGCCGCCGTACTCGTGGTTGCGGTTGATGCCGTGGTTGCCGCAGTAGCCGACGGTCCGGCACCGCTATTGCGTTTGGTCGAGGAGACAATCTTGATCTTCTTCCCTGCCATGCCAGGACGCGAGAAGATTGAGTTCTCAGACAGCGGAGGACCCGTGCGAACAGCCTCCGGAGACTCGGAGGCAGACACAAACAGCGATTCCTCTCCCTCCCCATTCGCTCGCTCATCATGAAGTGGCTCGTCGTCCGCCGCAAACCCCTCAATGATCCCATCGATCCCCTCGCCGTCCTCATCCCAAAGCGCCATCTTCGCCCTCAAATTCTCCTCCGCCTCCCTCTCAGCCGCCAGCCTCGCCCTCTCCTCCTCCTCTTTCTTCTTCCTCTCCTCCTCGTCAGCCCTCTTTGACGCCTCCAACGCCGCCGCCGCCGCAAGAGCAAGCGCAGAATCGCCAGTATCGTCATCTTCGTGAATCCCATCTTCGTCGGACATATTGCCCGTGCTCTTTCTCGACGGTCGCCCTGGCAGCCGAATGCCCGCCTTCCCCTTCGCCGGCATTGTTTTCCGCCGCTCTCTCCTCTCCGCATCGCGCTGCCTGTCTCGTTCTCGTCGTCTGACAGTGCCGTCTCGAAAATCGGGAGGTAATTCAGATGGCAGATCCTCGTCGTCGTCCTGATGCTTGCGAGCCAGCCATGCAGAGCTGCGACCTTCGCCACGAGGTCGGCCCATGCTGGGTCCAGAGTATTCAACCATGTCCTCCTCCTCAAATTCCTCATCGTCCGAATCCAATGTGAGTTCTTCAAAGCGACCCCCTTTGCGGTTCCTTCGTCCGGGCTTCGAAGTGGTGTTGCCGTGGGAATCCCGTCGTCTTGTTCCGTAGGCTTCATCGTCGTCGACGCGGACGCGGAAAGACGTAGGCAGCTTTGGTTTCTCGGTGGGTTTGTTGCCAGCATTGGGCGCAGGGAGGACATCGGATTCGAGAATTGAGCCTACATCCCCAACAGGGGGCTCTGCTTCCGGTCTCGGTGCTTGCGGATGTGGGCGGACGGGTCGACGGCGGACTTCTTCTAGGAGCTCAGGGCGCAACGAGAGCTTGACGACCTTGGACTTGTTCTTCATGCGCGCAAGGACGGTGATGTAACGGTCATCCCTCCTTGCCTCTTCCAGGAGCCTCTTCTGCACTTCTTTCTGGTACTCCTTTCCAGAGACATTCTTTGGTTGAGCCGGCTGGTTAGTCTCATCCTTCTTCGCCTGCTTCTTCTTCTTCTTCCGTCGTCCACTCTCTGCCTCGCCCTCCCCATCGTCTCGGTTTCGCTTTCCCAGCCGAGGAATCTCGCCGTTCTGGTCAGGATCAGGGTAGTAAGAGTTGTTGAAGCCATCTTCTTGCATTGTAGTATCCGCTTGGTAAACCACAGCATTTGGATCGACATAACCATTCCTGTCGCCGAACTCGTTCGCATTCGCCCCGGCATGCTGATCTTGGACAGGTGAATAAGCAATGCCATTGCGGTTGCTGTAGTCAAACTCCTCGTCCATGAAGCGATCATCGAGCATCGGATCATGCATCTTCGCCTGTTCCGCCTCAAGCCGCCGCTGCTGCATCGGCGCGCCGTCCTCTTGTAACCAGTTGAGGTTGGACACGCTGAAGTCGACCAGGCATTCCACTGATCTGGGATCTGCAACTTTCTTCGTGTCATGGCCGAGCAATGTACCCTTGGGTTTATATGGATGCTGTCGAGGATCTCTGCGGCAAGCCCCAGTATTACATTTTCTCTCGCAGTGGGGACACTTCCAATTTGGATTCTCCATGATGGAAAGCGGCATCTTGTCGTGAGCGCGGAACAAGGTGCCGTAACAGTACGCCAAATCACAGTTAGTGCAGAAAGCCATTTTCCATTTGGGATGACGGTGCAGGCAGAAATGGCAGGATCTGTGGTTGTTCAGCCAGGCTTTCGACTTTTTCTTCCCCATCCTCCTGACCGTGCCGTCGGCGTTGAACTGGACTTCGTCATCGTCGGACTTCTCATCCTCTTCCGGTGGAGGAGCGTTGGGATCGACGAAGGGGCGGAGTTTCAGTTGTTCTTGACAGACCTGGGCCAAGGTCTTCCTGCCGAGATAACGACGCTCTTCCATCAAAGGGAGTGGTGTCTTTTCAGTCATACGGCCGTCGATATCGATAATCTGCGCACGCCATTCCTCATATTTGTGGACCAAATCTTTCCATTTGAACTGTTCCACCCAAGTGTAACCGGACTGGCAGGAGCAGCTTCGTCCCATACAGTAGCAATCCATGCAAACATCATAGGGATCATCGATTTCCTTCGAGTAGGCGTTCTTGCAGGTCTTGCAGGTAAGGAAGCGGTTGAAGATGTTACATCTGCAATAGGAGCAAGTGACGTTGCTGTCGTAAGGGACATATTCCGGATGTTCACGGGAATCCGGGGCGAACATCTCCGACAGAAGAATATCCTTGTAAAGGTCGAAAAGCCTCTTAAAGTCCCTTTGTACTTGTCGAACCTTGACTGACCGCTGAATCGCATCTGCTTGGTCTCCCCCAGCCTCTACTTGCGCCCGAGCCATTTTGAGGATATTAGAGTATTTCAGTAGAGTATAATAAACAATAGCCTTGTTCTTGTACTGCTCATCCCGACACACAACGCGAGAGTTGGGTAATGCTTCTGACAGCGCCAACTCCAGGGTCTCGACCGTAGTTCGGTTCCATGCGATTTTCATCGTCCGGGTTCCACGATTCCAGACCTGATGCGGCGCCAGCGGAGGAATGAGGATGAAGTCTCCTGGCCTCTGCTCCACGACGTAGGTCGTAAACGGTGCCTTCTTCCAAGCAATAAGTTGGGCAAAATGGTCCTCTACCTCAATGTCGTGGCCAAGAACGGAAAGCCAATACTCGGAAACCAGGTGTCGGTCCTTCGTCTCAGTCATGAACCATATGGAAGAACCCGGTCGTTCCGGCTGCCCGTCCTCGCCGATATTTCCAGACGCATTGACCATGATGTTCTGGCCGAGAGATGCGCACATTTCGCGATGAGCCGGGGTGTATGTGCCTTCGTGACCGATATAGCACATGAGGTTCTCGGCGCGCATATCAGGGGGCAGACTGCTCATGAGATCTCCAGCGCGGCCGATTCCACGGCCTTTGCGACCTCCCGGTTCATCCAAAGCCCCCGGACCACCAATGTCGCCCGTACTTTCGTTGAGGTAAAAGAGTCCGGCTGGAATGTGCTCCTTCAACTTGTCCTGCCAAACTGGTGGGCAGTCGATATCTTTCAAGTATATTCGCTGTCTCTTTTTGTCTCTATACGCCTCCGGGTCTGTGAAGAATTGCTCGGTCAGGCGACCCATGTGATTTAGATAGTGTTTGATGGTGAGCGGCATGTTGTCCTTGGCCGTGAGATTGCGCGCATATTCCACTATGCTCTTGTTAACTAAGAATCTCTCATATTTGTGGAAGTGATGCCCACCTTTCTCGCCATGGTTGTCGCGCAACCACCCTGGGGTAAAAGTCCAAGGATCAAGAATCTCTTCAAATCCATCAATGACCAGGGGTTTCCCTCCCACTACAACGTGAAGTAGGACGAGCTTCTCAAACTTCTCTATGCCATTCGCTTCGATCATCTCATATGATATGCGGTCGACATATTGAAAGTTGTCGCTCGTCTCTACGAACGTCTTTACGTCGAAGTCCGTGGGTATAGGCTCGAAGGATGCCCTCGGGCGCTGTGCGGGCATCTTGATCGTGGGTCTAGCGCATTCGCAACTGGGACAGGGTGGAGAGGTCGAAAGACGCCACCGTCGCAGCGCCCGCCGGGTTGGTCTATATCAGGCGAATCAGTTGTAGTGACTCCAAGTTTCTCGTCAAGAAGAAACTGCGAGGGAGAGGGAGGGCACGGCGCCCCACATGAAATTGTCGACGCGGTGAAGATGAAGACGGTCAGTGAACGCGACTGCTCGGGTGAACTAAACGATGGTTGTCTTGGGTGTGGCTGGAATTCTTCAGCCACTCACGTGACTGCGCGAAGTCCTCTCGACTGTCCCTACTCCCAATTCCCGTTATTCAACGACCTTAATTTCGAGGGGTCTCCCAGAATTCAAGTGTAATCGAGGAGGGGAAAGAGATATCAATTAGCAGGATGGCGACGCCCGCCGCCCTCTGCTGGAGAAGGGGATCAGTCCTAAACCGACAACTCCTACACGCATCAATCAAGACCAGACCAAGTCGGTGTATTGTCGACAGCCTCTCTATCATATGGACAAGACAAAATTCAATTACTACCAGACAGCCCAAGACAACCTCTCTTCGATCATACACACCCCAAAACCTTCATCTCACCCGACACACCTCCACCATCACCACCACCCCATCCCAAGATACGTCCAACTCTCTCCCGGAATACCACCCCCCAACAACCGGCCTCCTCTCCTATCTTCCCCCCTCCTGGGTCCCCTACGCCGAACTCATCCGCCTCGACAAACCAACAGGAACCTACTACCTCTTCTTTCCCTGCCTCTTCAGCACCCTCCTCGCGGCCACCTTCCCCACGCCCCTAACCCCTCCAACCACCATCCTCACCACCACCGCCCTCTTCTTCACCGGCGCCCTCGTCATGCGCGGCGCCGGCTGCACCATCAACGACCTCTGGGACCGCAATCTAGATCCGCACGTTGCACGCACCCGCCTCCGACCCATCGCCCGCCGCGCCATCTCCCCTCAATCCGCCATCGTCTTCACAGGCGGGCAACTCCTCGCCGGCCTCGCCGTCCTGCTCTCCCTACCCTTTGAATGTTTCTGGTACGCGACGCCCTCGCTGCTGTTCGTCGCCACCTACCCCTTGGCGAAACGCGTGACGAATTACCCGCAATTCGTCCTAGGTCTGACGTTCTCGTGGGGCGCCATCATGGGGTTTCCCGCCCTCGGGGTCGATTTGCTGTCGAACCAGGCCGCGCTCACGGCTGCGGCGTGTCTGTATGCGAGCAATGTCGCGTGGACGGTGCTGTATGACATGATTTACGCCCACATGGATATTAAGGACGATGCCAAGGCGGGCATCAAATCCATTGCCCTGAAGCACGAGAAGGAGACCAAGGCTGTCCTCACGGGGTTGGCGGCCGTGCAGATAGGTCTGCTGGCTGCGTCGGGTGTGGTTGCGGGATTGGGACCGGTCTTCTTCGTTGGGAGCTGTGGGGGTGCGGCCGTGACGCTGGCGACGATGATATATAGGGTGCAATTGAAGAGTGTTGCGGATTGTTGGTGGTGGTTTAAGAATGGGGCGTGGTTTACAGGGGGCGCGATTGCGATGGGGTTGGCGGGGGAGTATGTTGCGCAATGGATGGGTTGGTATGAGGGAGAGGAGAAGACGGACGAGAAGGGGCAGGAGAAGGTGAAAGAAGTGGAGGGAAGTGCTTAAAGACAATTGGACATGTATGATTCGGGTATTTCATTATCCTATCTCGAGCATAGGACGACACCATGTATACTATCTTTGTTTCATCTGGAGTCTGCACGGATACAAAGGCACAAGACAGCTTTACACAGTAGAGCAGGTTCCTTCAGTCGTAATGTAGCATAATCATAACACCGTCTCTATATCTACCCAGACATGAAGCAATGTAACCTCCTTCATCAAGCACCAGGACGTGCCAGGTTGTGACTGGCCTAGCATTCCCACATTGAAATTCCAGTGACGCCGAAAAATGCAGAACGTATCCCTTCAACTCTGTCTATGGTATATGGCGGAAGACCCAACGCCTCAGAGTTGGATATCGTTGTTTAGGAGGCGCACCTCCTCTCCAGGCTTGAACGCCGGCAAGCCAATGTAAGGACACCCATCGCATCTGAACGCGTCGCCCAGCGCGCAGTTACCGCAACTTCCGACCTTCCCTTGAACAGTGAAATCGACCTCGGCCAGGTCGTCGGCTCCCAGTTTTAAGGTGTTCAGTGCCTTGTCGGCTGTAGCGCGTTTGGCGGCATCTTCGGCTTCAATCTTCTCCTTTAATCCGCACGTGCAGTCTTTGCAGGCACGGCGTCGCTTTCCGGCTTTGGGTCGACACTCAGGAGCTAGAGTTCTACGTTAGGCAGTAGTCGACGTAATGGAACATGTTACATACGCTGAACAATGGCACCCAGTCTGTCTTCCTCTGTGATCAGGTCGTCCTCGTCTATGAGCTCATCGTCCTCGCCAGTGATTATGGGATCGTCCAGATCATCACTGAAGTCCACGAAGCCAACACCGGCGGGCTTGGAGGGCTCGGGCGAATTGCGCTTCCCATTTATGTTGAGCGAGTTGCCATTGAGGATCCCGTTGGTTCCACTTGTCGGAGAATTCACCGCGCCATTCGTCGCCTTTTTCCTGCCCAACTTCAGGGGTATCGACACGCTCTCCACCTGCTCCGGCTTCATCATGCCCTCAATGCCCTCGAGCAGACCCGCCAGGATGGCCTCCGTCTTCTCCGGAGTCTGTTGTGCGCCGAAACCGCCGTCCTGGCTCTTCAGGAAACCCCCGGGCTTTAGTGAGTTGACCACCTTGGACATGACTGTCCTGCCGAGTAGGGTGTGGCTCTCCCGCGTTGTGCCGTCGGCGTCTGTGAGAAGCAGAACAACGTCGTAGGTAGATGAGGGCAGCTGAACGAGGCCGGCGGCAATGCGATCAAGCATCTGCAGATCTGTGGAAGAGCGGTCATGGGTGGAGTAGACCTTGTCGAGGACCTCGGGGTGGGCGGAAATGGAGGGTGGAGCGAGGAGGAGGGTTCGCGGTGCCATGGTGGGGTGTATCGCCACCTGAAGATGAAGATGCGGAAGCAGAGTTGGAGCGAAGGGGGTGAGGTTGGAGTTTGGACAGACGGATCGCGAGAATGATAAGGCAGAGTCAGAGTAACAAAGAGAAAAGAAAATCAGCAGCAGGCCCAATAATGGAGGATGTGGAGGGCTGCAAGGCGCGGTGGGGTGAGTATTTTCCCGAGATAGGGATGCTGAGTAATGCGGAAAACACACCACCGAGTCAGGTGATCAGGTCGCACTCCGCCAGGGACCCACCCGTGGGACCATGAAACCGGTGGGCCTTCGGCAGGGACCTCGTTAGCGGCGGCGAGGGGATTGTCTGGGGTACATCGGGCCGGGCAACTTGTCAGACAGCAACAGCATAATGTGTACGGTACCTGCAACGAAGTTCTCGCTGTCCTTCTTCAGCACAACGTACTGCAACCTACGAGGCGTGAATGGATCATTGATGCTTCAAGAGTCCTTCTCAATTGGTACTTCTACTCGGCAGAGGACACGCCACTCTGCGTAGATGGCATCCAAATCGCGTCATGACGTAGACCCATTCGTGCTCAGCTTCAGAGGGGTCAGGACCCGTCGATCCATGGCGGGGAAAGGGGTGGATAACAGCCTCAATTGAACGTGTACCCACAGCAATACGGAGCCAGAAGCTTCCTGTTGCTCGACTCAAGCTCGCAAGCTCCGAGGCCGTACCACAGCGCTATAAAGCAGCCGCCGCCCAGCTCTCAATTCACCCGACCCCGCTCGCGTGAGCACCACTGCTGCCTTTGTCCAACTGCGCTCCCCCTCACGACAACGCCAACAACGTCACAACAAACACTCTCTGCTTCAACCTCAGAAGTGAGAAAGCTTTCTGCAAGGTACGCAGTTCCACCAGGCACCCACCGCTTCCCCGTTGGCATCGGCTCATGGTGGCTTCACCCCGTGGCATCCCTGATGATTTGGCCCGAGCTCCACAGCTTGAGGTCACGAGAGCCTTCACTGACATTCTAGACAGACCTTCTCCTGAGCCCACCTACTTAAAGCTGCACTCCCCTCTACGAATCCTCATTGCACAAGGACATAGTACCTCACTTGACTGCCTCAACCCACCAAACCCAACAGTAAGTCGTCCCCTGACCCTCTTCAGCACCTCGTCTTCCCCTTCCGTCATTCGGATTGCACGCTTCCGGCTCGCTCTGCCTACACGACTGAGATGACTCATTGCGTGTTTCCAGTCAATTGTGCATGCTCTTGAGGCTGACATCGATGCTAGTGACTCGCTCCCACAAGTTCAACGACCGCATCCACGTCAATCTCCCTCATGGCGGTGTTGCCGAGTCAGAAGAGCATCATCTCCCCAAATTCTTCTCCAAGACTGGCTTTGTCGGCGAGGACCCTACCAAGACGAAGAAGAACGGCGGTGGAAGGGGCAATTGGTAAGTAGGCCCGGTTGGGCGCTCTCGGTCCGATCCCCATACCCTCGTTGGACCGTAACCATGTCTATCACAAGAAGGGAAGCTGACCTCGTTTCAGGGGCCGACAAGGCGAAGAACTTGAAGACTACGAATATAACATGGCAAACCCACGCCGTCGATCCAACTCCAGCACCCACCAGATCAAAGACTTCAAGACCAAGTTCGAGACCGTCGAGCCCGAGCCCGTATTCGAAGAGGACCTTCACGGGGCTACCGGCGAGAACATGGACCAGGAGAGCACTGCTTCCGGGTCGTCCAAGAGCATCGAAGAGGAGGATGTCAACAAGAAGGCCTAGATCTCTGCAGGGTGTTACCTGAAGTGGATCGGGCGGTGGAGAGGACGGACACTTATGATGGCACATAAACCAGGCATCGTACGCGCACTTTACCTGGATGTGTACGCCGTCGATGGGCTTTACCGTGCTTGTTGAGATGACACAAGCATCGGTTGGTATTTTATATGTATTGCGTTTTCCGGGATCTCCGTCCTTGGACCATGGGTAGCCGGACTGCACCACGGAATGGCGTCAGTCTCGCGGGCCTTAATGGGTTTCTTTCGACCTGTGTCTTATGAATACAAGCCACGGCCGGTTGAACGATGATAATGAATATCTTGATGACCAATTGTTCTTTTCCAGTGTGTCTGTGATTCCGATTGAGTGTCTGTTGCTGTAAATCCACTGAATTTGTAGCTTATCCTAGTTCACCACACGCTCTGTTCATTCATCTCTTATGGGCTTTTCCATAGCAGGCCCATCCCGCTGACACACCCACTGCGATTCGAGGTTGGGGCTTTCAGCCCTCTCTCTCCAACTGCAAATCTGCGCCCAATATGTGAGAAAAGAAAGCTAAAGCCGGGGAAAAGAGGGTCAACGAGAGTAGCTGTGGTGATGCATCATACAAACAGTAACCATATGCAGCTGGCACCATCAACAATTCAATGTGAGGTTATAGAGGTCCGTGCGCAACTCCGCGCGCCAAGCACCTGATGGGAGCGCATCCCTGTCAGAGCTCGAAAACATGCGTACCTTTGTAGTATTCGCTGGCAGACAAAACAACACCTCCGTCACAACCACAGACATCTCTACCTCAACCGCGCCGGGTCCTCACAGGCGCGCCTCATCGCGCTTTGCGGCTACAACTCTCCGCCCACCATGTTCTCACCAGAGGCCACCGTCCACGCCGCTCGCAGCTCTCTGCGCAATCCGCGTCGGCGCCAACGCAAAGACTCGGACGGCTTCCAACAGCCTCGCCGGAAGCGCAGCAAGGTCTCTGAGGATACCTTCTTGGCTCCAGGAAGTTCCCACGTCAATGGTAATGGCTCGATCAATGGCCATGTTAAGCATGACGATGCTGAAGGTTCGATGGTGTTGGTCGAGATGCCTGTTCGCGAGAAAAGTGCAGGGGCACATCGCGCTCCAAGAGAGGACACAACACATTATCTTGTGGGTAGATAAAGGTCCTCGCAATTCACCTGATTAACAAGTGTAACAGACCAAAAACGAAAACTACAGCGTCAGAAGGCTCCCTAGCTTTCCCAGCAACCTTGCCCATGCGCAAGGTACGTCTGTCTTCCTCTCGCGCACCCACAACAAGCTGATCACAGTAGCGCACTTTCGAGTATTTGCCCATCCTGCGGCCGGCCTAGCGCTCGCGTTGACGTATACACACGCACTTGCCTGGGATTACACCGCTGTATCTGGCCTCACCCGTGTCATCACTTTGCCTCTACCTTTCGAGCTGAAGCCATCCGAGCCGCTTCCGTTGGGCGCGATAGTACGCAGTGGCCCTGCCAATGAATTTGGAATTCTCGCCGTTGCGCCATCGCGGGGAAAGATAGTCTTTTGGGAGAACGTTGACAGCGCGGAGGTCCGGAGTCATTTCGCGCAGCGTCCACAGGGCATCCAAGGAGCGGTGAAAGTATACTCTGGTGAAACCATCACAGGCATAGTGGATATTAGCCATGCGGGTTATGTCCTCGTTTTCAGTACTGGACGACTGGCACACTTGACTTTACGAGACTCTCAGGGTCGACCAGGTATCACCACGAGTTTTCTCAATGCGCCTACTAGCTCGAGTGGTAGCTTTTTCAGTTTCAAAGGCCTCCTTACAGGTGCTCTCCGGAAACCCATCGCATCAGTGAAGGCCCGCCCATCCCGATCGAAAGGACAGATGGAAGTGATCACGGCCACCAACAGCGCCCTGTTTCAAGTATGGGATCTAAGCTGGTCCGGACAACAAATGTTCAAAGGGGAGGTCGACGTCCATGCGGAAATTCTTGCGGCTCTACAGACTGGAACAACACCCGAATCACGCGGAAACGTGGATGCACATGTTCTGGATTTTGCCATTGTGGAGCAGCAGAAGGAGCCAGGGATTGTGGCACTACTGGCACTCGTGGCGCTTCTTGGGGCCAACTTCATTGAATACTCGCTTCTCGAAGTGGATCTGGCAAATGGCGAAGGCACCGTCCGACGTGTTATCCCCATTCGCAACTTTCATCAGCCCCAGCTGCCTGAAGAACCGGCAGGGAAGCTCTTACTCCCCGTTCCTGGCCATACTGCCTTTATCCAATTTCCTGGAGCGATTGTCGTGGTTTGTCTCGCTGAGCCAGAGGAATCTCCTGATACCCAACTTCTCTCCGATTTCGGAAGAGCGTCGTTCCCCTTCCAGGACGCCATCTATCTTCGTCAGGATCGCCAGCTGCGGATCTGTGGCAGTGCGCCTGAGGACATTCCGAGAAAGGATAGGCACTCCAGTATACTCGTGGCTATTGTAGGCTACGGGCTGATTCAGATCAATGCACTGCCCCCTGCACCTGACGACAGCGATTTGGCGAGGCACAAGGTCACCGCCAAAAGCAAATTGGAGCAAGCTACATTCTTTGGCAATATTGCCGGCAACATCTTGGATTTCTCCATCCGGTCCAGATATACATTCGGGGAAGATGAGGTTAATGCAGCAGCTTTGGAGATCAGTACCGCAACTCTTTCTTCATCCTACGATTTCATGGACAAGGTTACTGTCTCGATGGAGGACCAATTGCACCAGCGTGCCGACGCGCTTCGTAGTCTCATAACCCACCTCAACGCCGAATACCCGCCCTTGTCATTCGTGACTAAATGGCAGTTGCTCTGGAACGCGGAGAAGCTTGAAGCAGCTTCTGCGGTCTGGAAACTGTACCAAGAAAAGGTTCAAGATCAGCGCGCGCGACCAGAAGCATATCCCGAGTCGTTGCTAGTTCCTCACATGGTCAAGTGCCTCCACGAACGCTTTAAGACAAAGATTCGGCCAGATGTAGGCGAAACGGACCCTGTGCGGCAGTTCTTTCTGAAGGATATCAACACCTTTGATATTTTCCTTCCGTGGGCCTGGCACTCTTTGCGAACCTTCTATCTGAACACAGAGATACGCAGGGAAAGGTCTTCGATCGTACAACGGCTCAGCGAAGGCAATGATGTTTTCATTACCAGTCTGAATGCAGCCTTCAATTTTCGCATGGAGAACGCTCCGCTGTACGGCATCAAGGCAGCGGATCTCACTGACGCGATTCTTCTTCCTGGCCATGGACAGGACTTGTTACCCGAAAACTGGACATCGAATCATAACATGGCCAGCTCCATACGTAGTATATGTGATGTAAGCCGCATCTATGCCTACGAGTTGTTTCAAGAAGGGGTACAAGAAGATGTCGCCATGAAAATTGCTAAAGACAATCCGGCGTTGGTCAAACTTGTCTGCCGGGTCCATCTTGAGCGTATTCATTGGGCACTCTCCCAGACGGACGAGAAGATTAAAGATAAAGGAAGACATTTGCAGGAGGACTTCATGCAGAAAGTCTGCCCAGACCACATCTATGGCCTTGCAGAGATAGGGCAGGCGCCCGCTGGCATGGACCTTGCTGAGGAGTACAATCAGTTGGACACGCTTGCGCGCCTAGTCTGGGATGAGATCAGTTTCACCGACGAGGTGAAGAGAACCACACAGAGCAAGGTGGAGCAGGCTGAGTGCATGGTCAAACTGAACAAGCTGAAAGAGCGGATCCAGAAAAACTTCGATAAGTACGGAGATGCGTGGGCTTCGGCTTTCTACAAGAGATATTTTGAGGAGGCCCAGACCCATCAATTATTCAACAAGGATTTCCTCAACCAACCATATTTCACGAGGTTCTTGCGGAGCAGCACGAATTTGGCAAGAATCGGATGGATAAACGAGGTCATCGGCGAGAAGGATTTTGTACATGCGCATGATGCACTGTACAACTATGCCACCCAGCGGGAGACGAATGTTTGGGGTCAGAAAGTCGAGCTGTCCATTGCCAAGCTTTCCTTGCTCTGCACCCAGCAGAAGGACGCTCCCAAGCTGGATCGAGAGGCCAACGCCATTTATGACGACAAAATGAGGAAGACCACGAACCGGATCGAATACGTGAGGATCCAGGATATGCTCTATGAACGATTCGAGCCCACGATCTCGGCGTCTCTAGACAAGGAAGCTGCTGTTGAGTTGCTGATGGCTGAATACGGGCAGGGCGCCATGAACGAGAGGCCGGCGCATCAACAGCTTCTCCGTCAGGGCTTTGACAAGATCGTCCATCACCGGGGCTTGGATTATGCGTTGTTGATCGATGTCCTGACACTGATGACGTACGATGAGTCGAAGCCGCCGGTGGAGTTGACGCAGGGCAACGAGTTTGCGTTTGCACTTAGAGCCTTGGTGCTCTCGTGGCACGACATGAACAAGATGACGCGAATACACATGCTGAGGCTCATTTGGAAGCGGCTATGCATCCGAGACGATTGGGCCAAGATTAACAACACCAAAGACACTTCGGATGCGCAGCTACAAGAGATCCTAGCTAACACCACGCTTGGGACGACCCTGAAGGCCCTTCATGCCATGATAAGTAGGTATATCGCTGCCAAGATGTATGCACTGGTAACTAACTCGTATCGTAGGGGAGAACGCGTCTAACAGCCGCGTTGCCTGCCCAGAGGATATCAACGGCCTTCTTGGTGCTGGCTGCACGAACGGCGAGCTGTGCACTCGCTTTGCCTCGGAAGATCTTCGCAGTCCGATCATCGTCGATAATCTGGCGGATGATGAGGTGCTGCAAGCGAATATCGAGAATCACCGTTTGCGTGAGTGGTTCCCTGCTGTCGTGAAGGCGGCAGAGAGACTGTATGAGTTAGAGCAGAGTGAGGGGGTGGATGGTGAGCAGGAAGGTGTCGGCGAGAATCAGGCACAAGTCGATGGTCCTGTTGGAGGCGACGATATCGAGGGGGAAGCGGCCGAAGCTGATACTATGGCTCCTGAGGCCGTCAAGACGGTCGCGGGTGGGAACGGTATTATGCGCAGCACGATGGACATTGACATGGCAGAAGGGTAATTTAGCACATGGGTGGGATTTTCATGGAAAAGGGTTCGAGCATTGAGCATTGGGACGGCGTTCAGCAACCCGCCTCTCCTTTTCTTCTTATTTCGTTTCTCCGGGTTCAACAGGAAGCGTGGATGGATACTGCAGGCGTCCTCATGAGGGCTACAACGAGTACTTGTATTTCTCTTTGTCGAGTCTACAGTCATATATGAATTTTTGCGTGATGGAAAACATCGAAAATTTACGTATTTCTCGATGAGGAAGTCGAAGGAAGAAAGAAAGCCCAGCCCTGCTGCTCCTTATGCGGAATGCCACTCGTTCTCGAAAGGGATTCCCCCTTGCCATTGCAATTGGCTTGATACTGAGGAGGTGCACCGAAGTGTGGCTGGAGCACAGTGAGCGGTGATAGGCGGCGGCACAATGAGAATCTGGAGCGCGGAGGACCAAACAACGTTGTGAGCGAGGGTCGCATGAAATTGCCCTCCGCCACTGTTTATGGAGACAACCGACACCATGCTGGTCCCTCTGGAGCCAGACTTGGAAGGGAATTTTGTCCGCCCGTGAAAGGGAACACTTGCAGATGTGGCTAGAAGAAAGGTACCTAATAAGTTACTGTATACAGTATGTACCACCTTCCTGTAGGCAATCTCCGTCGCCACGCAGGTGCCATGTGGCACACCCAGCACAGTACCTGAGGCTGATGATGAGATGAGTATGAGGGCGACGAGCTCGATAGGAAATAATACCGGGTGCTGGGCCGAAGGATGCGATGCGCTGGCGGCATGGCAGCGGGAATAAAATGGAGGACTCGTTCTGGACACTCGTTTAGTAAGACCCGCCTTGAACAAGTCGCCCTGCAATCCTGGTGAATGAGAGGCTGCCTCAACTAGGGCAGCGGCCCGTGCACGAGGTCCGGGCTTGGCACACTTCCCCCAGCAGGCCCCAGCCGCCCCTTCTTCTCTCCAGGACGCCAAAGATCGTCTTCACCGTGTGACCACGCTCATCTCTGCCTCCCTCTCTCCTCCCCGCCTGCCATCCATTCTTCTCTCCGCCGCCGTGCGTCCTCGAGCCTCCGCATCCGCACGCCGCTGCGGTGCCCCGCGAGCCCCTGGATTCTCCCTTCGAGCGCTCGGTGTAGCCCCAAAACAACGCACCCCCGGAGCCAGCTGTTGCGGCCTCCGCCATCATCACCACCGTACCTTGACGGAGAAGAGCCACCATGTCAACGGGCACGACATCATCCAACGTGGTGGGCGTCCACTACCGCGTGGGCAAGAAAATCGGGGAGGGCTCGTTTGGCGTCATCTTCGAGGGCACCAATCTGCTCAATCAGCAGCAGGTTGCGATCAAGTTTGAGCCCAGGAAGAGCGATGCTCCCCAGCTGAGGGATGAGTATCGGACGTATAAGATTCTTGTTGGGTGCCGTAAGTGCTTTCTTTTCTGCTTCCTCTTGTTTCTGGCTATGGCCTGTGAGGGTGATGTGAGACTCCGATCCCTCGAGCCGACGAATCCTGTTCCATGATTGCAGGAAGGACGGGGCTTCGCGATTCTTCGCTGCGGCAATGGCTCGGGTCTGTCTTGATTCGGATGCCGAGCACCCTTCTCCCTCGGATCAGTTCCAGCATAAAAACGCTTCATTCGAGGCAATATTGAATGTTATGGAACCCTTGCTGAGATTGCTATAGCTGGAATACCTAATGTTTACTATTTCGGACAAGAGGGTCTTCACAATATCCTCGTCATCGACCTATTAGGGCCCAGTCTCGAGGACCTTTTCGACCATTGTAACCGGAAGTTCTCCATCAAGACTGTTGTCATGGTAGCGAAGCAGATGGTATGTTTGTTGTCCTTGCTGGAGGGCCCTTCATTGACTTTACCTCCAGCTTTCAAGAGTACAAACAATACACGAGAAGAATCTGATATACCGAGACATCAAACCGGACAACTTTCTGATTGGGCGACCCGGAACTAAGAGCGCCAATGTCATCCACGTCGTCGACTTTGGCATGGCGAAGCAGTACCGTGATCCCAAGACCAAGCAGCACATTCCTTACCGCGAAAGAAAGTCTCTTTCTGGTACCGCCAGATACATGAGTATCAACACCCATCTGGGAAGGGAACAATCACGACGAGATGATCTGGAGGCTCTCGGCCACGTGTTCATGTACTTCCTTCGCGGTGGGCTGCCTTGGCAGGGACTGAAGGCGGCTACAAATAAGCAAAAGTACGAGAAGATTGGCGAGAAGAAACAAACCACCCCTATCAAAGACCTTTGCGAGGGATTCCCTGGTATGGTTCCCACGACGCCTTATCATTCGAGCCCCCACTGACGGTTCACAGAGGAATTCAACAAGTACCTCAGCTATGTGCGCAACCTTGGATTTGAGGACACCCCTGACTACGACTACCTCCGTGAATTGTTCACCCAAGCCCTCAAGAGCACCGGCGAAGTGGAGGATGGCGAGTACGACTGGATGAAGTTGAACAACGGAAAGGGCTGGGAAGTCATGAAAGCACATCCATCAGCCGCCCACCACCTCCAGAACCCCACCCACCAGAACTCATCTACTGCCGTCAATGTTCATGGCCAAGCTCACAGACAACCGAAGACTCACCTTCCCGTTGATCATCAACGACTTAATGCCGATCTCCCCAAGCCTGGAGCAACCCGTGCGCCCGCAGGAAGGAGCCCTAGAGACATGCAGCAGGGCAAGTACGGACATCCGGATGCAGCCAAACGGAAGAGCATGGGAGAACTTGCGCCGCCGGAAGGATCAACTCAGGCGCAGTTTCAGAACAGCCAGCCAAACCTCGTTTCGAACCAAAGAAATGTCGCACAAAGCCCGAACGTTGCCCAACCGCCGAGACACAACGGAGAAGAGAAGCCCAGCTTTTTCAAGAAGCTGTCTGCCATCTTGTGCTGTGGTGGAGGTAGCTCATAGATTACACTCCGCGCCTCCGTTTTCGAGCATTTGGCGTTCAGCACTCATGTCGTTTCCATCATAGCATCCCAGAAAAGTTGTTCCAGTCGTTTGCTGCGTTTGTACAGAAGGTAGTTTGTAATGATTCATAGACGGATCGAAAGTCTCTCATCAGGTCAGTCAAGGTCAAGTATATTTGGTAAACCGGTCATTCACGACACACTGAAATCTGGATGGATTGTTTCTTTCCTTGTTCTTGTCTCTTTCTCCGTTCCTGCTGCTGCTGCTGCGTTGGAAGGGAGGATCATGGGACTGAGGGCTTTTGGGCTGGCGCGTGAGGCGTTGAGAGCTTTGCTTTGCTTGCTTTGGGGGATGCGCTTGCGACTGTTTTATCCATTTTGGTTCCGTTTTTTTTGTTTAAGCGTAATCGGTGCGGTGGTGGTATGGCAGCGAAAACAGCATGTGCAGATGGGGGGAAGTCTTGGTGAGGGAAGATGTCATTGATAGGAGGGTTGTGCGTACCCTGCTGCCGGCTTTGGTAGGGTGTGCAAGCAATCATATATATATAGATGGTATCGGTTTCGATTCTGAAGCTTGGGTATGCGTTGTGATGTATATTGTGAAGCAGATGGGCTCTATTTCCCTACCACGTACGCTTCTCTAGGTAATACTTTGCTAGATACGACGCTTGTATAAAGAGATGGCTCCATACTTGTATCCTTTGCATGTTATTGAGAGACAAGCCATAGGTAGTGCTTGGCATCAGTTGCACGTGACCCCGGAAGTTCACCCCGGTCACCGCGTCCTCTGCCATCAACTGAACTGCGCAAATCGCGACCCGACGAAATCCTCATCTCTTGCCCTCCGGTGAATGCTTCACCTGTGAGGTAACTCAGTCATTATTCACGATGGCGACCGGCCGCGACGTGCGCGACATTTTCGGCCTGCCCGCTGGCAGCGATGCTACGAAAACAGCAGTCCCGAAACGAGCGAAGCCTGCAGCGCCCGCAAAACCGAGGATACAAGGCGTCGCACGCGAAGTAGCTGCGCTGTACGGAGAACGACCGCCGCCTGTTGCCGTATATGAGGAGAAGAAGGCGTACAGACCGAAACGGAATACTGGGCCGGCTAAGCAATGGGTAGAAGAGCGCTTCACCAACCAAGCCCGAAGCGATGGCCTCGTCCTCAGGCACTGGCGACGCAAAGACGAATGGGAGAAACTGGTGGCGCAGCAGCAAGATGGGGATATATCTATGGACACGAGCTCGCTGGAGGTGCAACCGATAGTTTCGCGTTCAGACTTTGTGAAATACAACGTTGAAGTGGATATGCCCACCTTCACAGATGAAGAGTACGATGCACATCTCCGGAGCGACGACTGGAGTAGAGAAGAGACGGACTATCTGCTAAGTCTGGTGAAAGACTATGCATATCGCTGGCCAGTGATATGGGATCGTTATGATTTCCAGCCCGGTGGGGCACAAGGACCTCAGGAGAAGGGAGATTCGAACGCTCTCAGTACTATGCCATTCGCGCCTACCAAAGCGCGGACCGTCGAAGATCTCAAAGCCCGCTTTTACGATATCTCCGCTCGGCTCATGAGATTGCGCATCCCGGAGGTGCAGATGGACGCCGAGCAATACCAGCTCTACGAGACGTTGCAGAAGTACAACCCGCACTCGGAACGGAATCGGAAAGAACTAGCAGCCGCACTCATGAACCGAAGCATGGACGAAGTCAAAGAAGAAGAGTTCCTCCTCACAGAACTCCAACGCATCAACATGGCCGCCAGCCGTCTCGACGCCGAACGCGACGAACTTCGTGCCCGTCTCGAAACCCCCATACCCAATCCCGGCAACGCCCCCGGTCTCCAATCCTTCCACACCTCCGCCGGCCTCCAGCAACTCTTCAACCAACTCGTCGCACAGGAAAAGAACAAGAAGAAAGCCGCGGGCCCACCCGCTCCAGGCGGCAGACTCAACCTGTCAACCACCGAAGCAGCCGGCACACCAACAACAAACGGCCAAGCCGCCCAACAACTCGCCGCCAACCGCCGAACAAGCATGGCGCAGCCCCCTCCACCGACACCCGTCCGCCAACTATCCCCTCAAGCGGAATACCGCTTCAACGTCTCCACGCACGACCGTCTCACTTCTGGCGTCAGTTTCGGCTCCGACAAGCTGCTCAAGATGCGCCAGGCCAAGTCCAACGTGCAGACGCAGAAGATTGCCGCTGCGTTGGCGGAGCTGGGTATCAGTGAGATTATCAGTATCCCGACGAGTAGAGTTGCCGAGGTGTTTGAGCAGCTGGTTAGTAAGGTGGGCAAATTGCTTGATGTGAGGAAGGTGCGGGAGAAGGAGGAGGGGGAGTGTAGGGTTCTGGAGGCGATGAAGGCGCAGAAGGAGGCGAAGGAGAATGGGATGCCTGCTGTGGAGGGCAGTGGGAGAGGGAATGCAGGGTCTGCGGCGGCGGTGAAGAGAGAGGAGGTTGGGGAGACGCCGAGGCCGGAGGAGATGGAAGTAGATGGCGAAGGGGAGGAGGATGCGGATGGTGAGGCCGACGAGGATGAGGGTAGGAGTAAGAGGGGGACGAGTGAGGCGGTGAGTACGAGTACGAGGGCGAGGAAAAGGAGTGCGAGTGTGTTGAGCCAGGCGAGTACGAAGAGTACGAAGAGGGCAAGGAAGTAAAGGATGAAGATGGATCCTTTTGCATAGCGTTGGCGTTGGGGTCATATCGGGTTATCATCACGTGGACCCAAAGTGGTATGGGATTGGAATCTTTTCTTGGGAGGCATGATACCACCTGGGTATACTGCATGAGGTCTTCACTACGCAACTAGACGGACACTAATTGCGATTCCTTATCACACGACACGCGTCGACCTTGATTTCCGCTACTCTTCTCGGCTCCTCGAAACGATTGAGGCAGGAATCTACAACGCAAGCCTAAGTCATGCAGACTAGCTGACTGTGATTCATTTATGTTATCGGTCGTTATCATGGCAAATCTCACTGCATCAACTTGAGGCTCAACCAAGTGCCTCCCCGGGGAAGATATGACTTAGCCCTCGCCTCCACAGCGCATCCTTTCCACGCCCAGAATCGACTTCTCCGCCGCCACTTCCCTCGTCGAGGAAGACCAATTGCGCTTTCCCATCTGTGCTCTTCGCAGCCATTACAGTTCGTTTCAGCGTATCAGCCGAAATGATCCCTGCCGCACAGTTCTCCAGTTCTTCTCCATCTCCGTTGCTGTTGTATGCCAGGGCCATTAGCTCCGCGACGCTGTCCCACGCCTCACTCGATGTACGTCTCCACAGAATGAGAATGGAGTGGGCTAATGCAAGTACGGTATGCAGAAGCAGCACACTAAGTGCAATCCATTGTGAGTATCCGTTGAAATACCATGCAGTGCCGTACTTGAACGTCCGATAGTGATAGGTCATATGCGGAAAATTCGGTCGGTCATAGATAGGCCCGCCGTTGAGGAACTTGTCGTCGGTGACACCAGGAGTACGCAGCTCGGGCTTGATGCCATTCGCTGTCGGTGTCGGGGTTTGAAGGCTGAAGCCTACACGGGACAGCGCATCAAGAAGAAACATTGTGATATAGTATCTGGGGGAGTGTCAGCATTCGGGCCGCGCAACAAGCTTGGACCTTCCTACTCTAAGTTGATCCGCGAGTTATCGATCTGGTCAAGTCGGTAGAATGGGTCGTTCATCGCGGAAGTGTTCAACAGAGCCTCAAAGTTCGTTTGGTTGTAGCTCGATCCAATCTGGGCTTGTTCCGGCATCGGCAAGATCCAACTGTCAAACCACTCGCTGGTCATATTCATAGTCGGTCCAAAATACGGCTTGTACCGTTCGTCAAGGTACTGTGCGCGGTCGAACTTGAATTCCGAAGTCTCTGACATCGGTTGCTTGCCAGGATTTGCATCCAGGGAATGCAGGAAGGAATCGAAGTGGTTCAGGTACTCTCCCTGCGCCCATCGAGCATCCACAACGCAACCTTGCGCAACAAGCGTAGTGTCGTTCTGCCCAGTGACTATAACGCCCGCGCTGACAGAAGATCCTAGACTTGGAGGTAGTGTTACCCACTTGGCGCGTGCCTGTCGGTGCGAGATATTCAAGCGCTTGAACATGTCCCCATCGTCTGCGGATGCTAGATCCCCGATCTGGACCTCTTGGATCGGGCCCGTTTTAAGGCCGTCACGCCAATACTTATCTCTCTCAATGACAGGGAACTCCAATGTCGCGGTATTATTGTCGATACGCCGGGAATTGCCGCACACTGTACGCACAGTGGGAAGCTTTCCCTCAGCGATGCCATACCCGCCACCACCGCCAACAAAGTCCCTCAGTCTCCTGTTTCTTCCCTTGGCGTAGCCCCAGGCAGCACCGTTAGCAATGCCTAATACCTGCAAATGTGCGATCATAGCCACAGTTGGCATCATAGCCCATGTCTCTGCTACCACCGAATAATTCTTATACTGGTCTGGAGACATTCCAGTCATAATACGCGGTGGAACCTGGGTTCCCGACCCGCCGGATAGGAATACACCCCAGCCGGGGCGAACGGGGCCAACAGTGGTCATCAATGGCAATATCTTTGTGAAGCCTGCGTAGAGACACTGCTCGTAGGACGGAAGAGGGCTTTGCCTGCAAATATCCGGACCGCCATGCTCAGCAGTAAGCCTTAGCGGGTACAGCTGGTCTTCGGTCCCGCCGAGGTAGAACTCCGTACTAGCAGCTGGAAGCCACAACTGTATGGGCAGGAAAAGCAGCGTCGAAGCGGGACCGATGGTGGAAGCCAACAAGCAGCACAGAATCAAAGCCGATCCCACAAAGATCTTGACTCGCCGAGGAACACTCGATGTGAACAAGCCCCAGAACTCGGGAGACCATAGGAAATTCAGTGAAGAGAAGGTGGCGCCCGCACCTACGAGGCCGAAAGTGATACCTTCACGCAAGAGATAGTAGCGGATTATCTCGAGGACGATGACGGTCAAGGACCCCACAACAGCAAGTTCCTAACATGCGTGAGCATTTGAGGTTTCCAAGCACCATATGAATGTTTTACTCACGTAGAACTTTGCGGCAAGCTGGAGGGTGAAGTTGGCCGCAGTGCTGATATCGGGTCCATTCAAAAATCCGATTGCATTGAAGCAGATGAGGAACACCGTCGCGCTGACTGGAAGAATATGCGCACCAGTCCTCGTCAGTGCGAGGATGAGAGATCGGCTTTCGACGACCTTGGGCGGTTCTCCTGTCGCGCGTTGCTGTGGTCGCCGCCTAATCCGATTGCCTGACGTTACGATTTTGAGACCGACCGATCGCAGCAGAGACCGCGTAGGAGATGTATGTGTGGCATTATGATTGCGTCGACGAAGCCCGGACTTCTCATCGTCGTTGTGGGGCGAAATCTGCCTGACGGATGTGGATGTAGCGGCGTGTTTTGATGACGAGAATTGTTCTGGAAGGGCATGGATTTCCGACTGGGCCGACTTGAGAAGCAGGCTGTCGCTTTCATTCAGCGCCGCAGGCTGATGACCCTCGTCGTCTGAATTCCTTTGCCTTCTCGTTCTACCCGCGTGAAGTTCATCATTGACGTACGGCGGAGTTGCTTGCGCATCATCTCTCAGTGCTTCGCCCGCAGAACTTCTGCTTTCAGTGCTCCTAATTCCTCCCAACTCGATGGCAGGTTCGTGGGTCATTGCGGCTTGCTGCAGGGTACCATGGAGTTCGGAATCACCATTTACTACAGGTTGGGGCTGCTGATATATTTCTATCCTGACCGAAACTCTTCGGGTTTGCGGATAACGTTACCTTTAATCCGTACCAGACTAGGTATTATCTTGCGCGCGTAGCCAAGGACTATGCCTAACCTTATACCATCATTGTCAGCCTGTCGTATTCGAAAACCTACTGTATAAGGAAATCTGCCGACGAGGCGCAGGCGTGTCTGACAAATCACGTTTGAGAACTGTGAAGCGGTTCGTGCTGTTTGGCCGAGAAGAGATGTAGAGTGCTCTTAGCCTCTGCGCTTCGGATGGGGGCCGAAAGCCTCACGAGTATTCCGCGACTATCTCATCCAGTGCGTTCTTCTGCTGTGTAGAATCGAGTAAGAGTAAGCCACATCACGCCGCACCGAAGGTATTAGGCTGCTACTTGTAACATATCTAAGAAGATCTATACTACTAGAAGTTGATTCAATCTGAACGTCTTCCATGACTACTCCAGAGTAATACAGGAATATATTACCAAAGATCAAATCTGCATCACCATAGCTACGATGCTTAACCAAGGGCTTGCCACAACTCCTAAGTATGCCAACCCCAGAATACAAGTGACGGTTACGGTCCAATTGGAAAGAAACGCCAACTTAGGGTGCACAGCGAACACCGACTTTCTATATATGGCTATGCAGGCGAACATGTTATATCTTGATGTGTGCATGAACTCTGTAACCGTTTTGAGTGACTCACGGTCGCGCTTTTTCTCTTCGTCGTCTCTAACCACAAATTCCACGCGGCAATGTTTCTGTACAGCGTCGTTCCCGGCCCTATCTCCTGCTCCTGCAGTTTCATAGGAATGGACCGGCCAATAACACGCTAACCACACGCAAACCAGCTATAATCCAGAAACATTTCGCTGTTTCTCTCTCGCTTCGCGATTTCTTTCGTTTCGTTGGGACTCTTCCTGACCATGCATTGCCGCCAAGAAGATTCACCTCCTCCCTAGCACGTATCATCTCTAAGCGCCACTCGCATACAACCTACACGATCATCCTTTCTCTTCTGCCCTAAGGCTGAGACGGCCGGCGTTAAGTGCTCAAGCTAGCGACGATTCCACTTGAGGCTAGAATGCAAGAGTGACGTAGCACTATCGCTACGGAACCAATGATGATATTTGAGGTACGTCAACATAGAGTAATGCATACTAGCATGGCAGTTTTATCGATATATCACCTAAATAACCTACCTTACATTTTTCTTGAATATCTATCTCATTTCCGCGTTTGCTGCCTCCAATTGCAAGCATCTATCTTTTCATTTCATCAACCGCACCCCCAACCGACTCACAATCGCACCATGCAACACTATCACAACCGCGACCACAACGTAGTCTCCTCCCACCGCGAGGGCGCCGAGGAAGCCAACCCGCAACTCTCAAAAGGCTCCGAGCTGTACGAGCAAGTCGGTACGTCTAGACCTTCTCTAAATCAGTTTTCCTTCATATCTCCTATCGTCCATCCAACCCGGTATCCGTATCTCTTTCACCATGGTCTCTACACCAGATATCCATCTCGATGCACTGTGCTAACGGGTTGACTCCACGTCTAGTCCACGGTTCCGGCAACAAGAGCGGCTCCAGAGACGAACCTAGCACGGGAGCGAAAATGGCTGAGGCTACGAAGGGAGGTGCGCAAGGTGTCGAGTCTTCGAGTTTAAGGACTTCGAGGAACAAGTAAACGGAGACCGTTTAGTACTATACAAAATACATCAGGTAGTGCTCGAGTCACTTCCACAAATTCTATGCTGGGAAGATTGGCTTTCACTTGCTCTGATTTGTGTCCTTTCTCTAGCGGGCCGCGCAAGCAAACGTTCTCGAGGCGGAGTCCGCAGAGACTACCGAATTCGTTGACGTGCTGCCTGTTTCCACGTCCGGCTGGACAGCTACATGCGCGTCCTCTGTGCTGGCAGTTTTCCACGTCTGGTCAAACCTGTAGGAGGCGCAGCAATGCAAGTGACCCTGTAGTCAGCTTTGCAGTGCCGCTGTATAGGCATAACAAGCCGTAAGACGACATTCTCGTAAGAGCGGAAGCTATAGTTATTAGCTTGCACTAAACGACTTGTTGCACAAAGCGACTTGTTACACTATTCCAAGAATGCTTCCGTAGCTAGCCCATGTCATCGCATAAGGATGCACATACAGTAAGTTCTTATCAACCTTGTCTATTAAACGTCCCTGTTCTAACACGATGCTTTCAATTTAGATCAGGCACATCGTTTAGATCCGGCTATTGAACAGCATCCAAACCTAAATCTAGACCATCGTTGCGCCCTCCTATATGCGTCCCCTTACCCTTCAATTCCGCCGCTCTCGTATCACTCCAGGTCCAGTCACTTCACTCTCCTTCTTGAATCGTTCCTTACCCTCGACATAGAACTCCACACCCACCTCATCCAGCCTAGGGCTACAGTATGCACATCCGGTCGCTCGTCCGGTTCATGCCTAGGACAGGGTTCCCAAACGCGCTGGACTGCCAACGGGACGATGAATCCTCCATCTCGAGACGAAAGCGATTAGTCCTTGTCCAGATGTTGGCTTCGAATGGCGTCGAGAATCCAAGGTGGGGTTTTGCTCGAGTCGCAGATAGAGCGTCGCATTTCGAGCAACTTAGCCCGCATATCATGCCAAAGGACTACACATTCGCGGCTTTGGTCCAGCCTGAGGGCCCATTGACTTCCGGGCCGCGGTTCTGCGGGTTTCCATAGCCTGCGTAGTAGCCTTTAGGGAGGTATAGGCCGGTGCTTGACGGATTGAGTATCTTCCCTTCGCCGACGTCGGAGACACTGTACTGATATTCTGAATCGACAGACGGGGCCATTGGGGTATTGTCGAAGGCTTGTAAAGATATTCCCGTCGTGGACTAGGTTTGGTGCATCTTTTCGGACTCGCTGAGGTCATCGAACTGTGGGGTTTCAACTCTGCCGTTTGCCTTGAATCCCGCTACCATTTTGCGTTGTGTTCGGCACGTCGAAATTCCACGTGCCTGCCACTTCTGTAACTACAGCTGACTTTTTACTCCCTATATAATCCATAATTATTGCCATTATTATCGCCCTGAGTACAGGATAGCGAAAAGGTTTAGCGGCTTCCAAAGGTTGAGTCACGCAGTACTGCACTGATTCGGCCGCTCAACCTTTTTGGCATGTGGAGGGCCTTGGTTCAAGTCCTATAGTGTGCATAATTTTCTTTCTTTTCATATTTATGTTTAGTCCCGTGACTTCTAGCGTCTGCATATCTCTTCCTCGTAATCGTCTCATCTCTGTAGGTATGAAAGTAAGCGGAACGGTAAGATAAGGACTGCAGGTTAAGCCTTGAAAAAGCGTACCGATCAGGAACGTTGTTCCTATGAAGTGTATCCAGTCCAGGTGCTACGGATGACATGGCTTCCATGATATTGTACCAGCCTTAAGAAAAATGATTTGCCTCCAGGTTTATGCTGCAGATGTCTAATAAAGCCACCCCTCCGTTGGGCGCTTGACGACAAGATAGTGTTTGCCCGTTGTTGGAGAGGAGTCGTCCAGTCTCTTTTTGAGAGCCAGACATGTGAGCAATACCTAGGAAGGCAACACAGTTCCGCTCTCTGTACTCTTGCTGAAAGGGGTGATACGAGAGCGGCGTACCTGCTCGGTTCACGCTATTTGGAACGCACATGCAGAACCCGATGACGAAGTGCAAGGCGGTCTCACGGTACTGTCAGAAAAGCCTGCAGAAAAGGGTACGTATAGGGAACGGAAACATACATCTGATAGAACCAACAGTACTCGGACTTCAACTAACAATATATAACTGTAGAGATGTGTGCTCGTGCCGCACTCGTACAGCTTGAGCTCGCCTTCCAAAACGGTGTCAAACCTTGGGAAGCTAGCGGCAAAAGATCTCTTCGAAGTACATAACTGGCTGAGTGTACTTTACAAGACGAAATATCATCAGGCCAAGGATCTCGAAAGTGTACAATGGTTTATACTACAAGGTGAGCAGTTGTAATATTCTGCAATTAGAAAGGCCAGTTAGACGGTTGAAACAGAATCGGTCTCATCATAGCTGGAGAGAAACCTGCTCGCGAGCGCCAAAGGTTTCCTTGTTCTGATATGCTTATAGGACGAACGACGAACGATTACCTTTTGAAGTTGGACAATGTCTGGCTTCACTGAATCTTATCGGAATCTCACAAAGTCTGCGGTGGCAATACGACTGTTCAGTCGGAGCGGCCTTCGCGTGCCGTAGCTGCGTTGAGTACTATGCAGAAATATATTCGCAGGCAGCACTTGATATTGCTTAAGACTGTATGTGTTAGGCCTTGTTTTACGGTTTCGAAACATGTCGCAGATGTACAACGATGCAATGCTGTCACCGAAGAGTGTACTCGTGAGGCAAAGACTTCATCATCTGCGTGAGGTAATATGTTGCAGCGGGGTCTCTCCTCAAATCTCTAGATCTTCAAGTGCGTAGATAAGGACGAAGTCTGTTGGTTTTGAGAAATGCGCCGTGTACATTACCGTTTCGTGGGCGAGTCGATTGTAATGCATCTCCATGAGGGAAGAATCGTACTGAGATAGAGCCCGATAGCATCCATTCTCTTGACTCAAATAGCTTGGAAGAGGAGAATCATCGAGCATGCACGCTCTGTAGAGAGCGGCTCACCCCTATTCCTGCCTCTACTTAAGTACTACTCTCACCACATGCCAACACCTCTGGTTGGCATGTGGTGCGAGTATCCGCTGCGGCAATCCTACTAGAGCAATTCACCGAAAATGATCAGAGGAATTTGGCGAGGGAGGCTTATTATCCCAAGTACTTGTAAGATGCCGCATGACCGCGAGACCGAATTCAAGACGTTACTCCAAGGGGTATTCACTATTCCCTCGAGCCCTTATGGCCTGGCCGCATGCACAGTACAAGCGACCGTGAAGGCAGGTAAAGGCCTAAGAATAATATTACCGCGCAGCAACGACATACGACCCAAAAAATAGCGACGTTCGTACGTTCCCCGTACACGCATACAGAATTCACGAGTCAAAATCCTCGATTCTGAAGGATCGCGTTCCAACCATATCTACAAGGCGATTGGCCGAAGCCTTCCCAAGGGTTCTGACCTCAGATCTGCATTTGAGCACTGTGGTAAGCAGCGCAGCTCCATATCTATTTATTAATCGCGGCAGACGTGTGTCTCTCTCAGGCAGGTAAGGTCTCGAAATAATGGGGCGTGAGCCACAGTCAAGGACGTCCCTGGGCTATGGGCAAGGGAGAGGGAAGCCAGCAGGAGAATGCTTTGAGGATGGAGAAAAGGCGGTGGACGCGGCTCAAGACCAAGGAAGGAGTCGAATCATTAAAAGCACGTTTTTCAAATGTTAAAGATTGAAGGAAGGTCTGGTTCTCGGAGCATAACGACGGACGGGAACGGCGTGGGAGTCGGGGATGTTTCAGGGGTAGGGCCAAATTTGGGGACGTTGGATGAACGTTACCGACGTCGGCAATAATGTTCGGTGCGACACCTCGAAGAATGATGCTTTTTGTTCTTGGACCATCTGCATGTTGAGCTACGAGAATGGCTTCCGTGAAGGGTCGATATTTCTATACATTTGCGGGGCAAAAAGGTCTCAAGAGGAGGTGGAGTCGCGTTTAGATATCTTTCCAATAGGGGTCAAGGTTCGGAGGGTCTGCTGGGCGGCTTGTCACCATTGGATCGAAGTCGCAGCACGCCCCGTTCTTCCTTCACGACACACGGCCGCACAGCCGCCTTTCATCTCCTCCACAGGACTTGCCGTCGTCTCCTATCAAGCTATTAATCTTGGCCTTGAGTTGTCGTTGACGAAGTCGGAGCAGTTCCCTCTTCCCAAAAATAATGGCAGCAAGCAGAGGGGCGAGATGACCCTTTTTCATCTCTCCCGTCAGCGGCAGCGGAGATTGTGTGCTCACGCTCACAGCGATGACACAGAATGCAGCGTGCAGCCTGCAGCATATCTGCCAGGTACCCGCGGCTGTGTCTGTAACAGTCTGTTCCTTGAGATACGGATCGTCGTGCTATTTTGGCCCAGGGAGCGAAACGTAATCAGGGACCGCCGGCAAAGCTGCCGAGCCGCAACAATGACAGCACACAGGGGAGGCAATAATGAGGGAATGGATTGTGCAATGCACAAGAGATGGGAAACGCATCGAAGCGTTCCCAGGGTTGGGGAGACGTGGCCGTCGAAGCTGATGACGGTGGCAACGAATTCCAACAGCATCCACATGGAGCCTGAGCGCCCCTTTCATTGCTTCGCAACGGCACACCGCAACGGACTGCGCTAGGCCGTTGAGCGCAGAGGTTCGAAGGCCGCTCCTCAGAGGTCGCTGACGGGCGCGTTCTCTTGCAAACGAACATGCCCCCCAAGCACGGTTTCTGCCAACCGGCTGCGCTGACTGGCCAGTTGCTGCCGTTCCCCTGGCTGTGAAATTAAGCTGCCCAGGGGGCTGATGGTCCCTGCCCATGCTGTGCGTCGTACCTGGGCTTGGCCCTTCTCCTGCAATCAATTTCCGCCCATGTGTTTCGATTATAACCACACGGCTGGCCCCCTCGTTGTGTTTCTTCCCTCCACCGCAAGGCTTCACTTTCCTTACGCTCTCGCTTGGTCTCTCGCAGACATTGTCACTCCTTTTCACCAACTCCAGTCACTCATTCAGACGCGCAGCACACATCCGCAGAATTGATTTCTGCCTGGTTTCCATTCGCAGGTCAATATCCGGCAAATCCCACGTTTTTCTCGTCCCCCTTTTAAGGAACCCTGTGAAGCCTTAGCAATCTATCCCATATCGAAGAGCAAGGAACAAGGTCGTCGAAGATGATGAAGCTCACAGTCGCCTTTTTGGCCTCTCTGGCAGCCGTCGATGCTGCCCAGGGACATGGTCGTCGCCATGTGCGCCGCCCCAATGTTGACTATGGTAACGGCTACGGTTACGGGTCGCCGTCGCACCATCTTCCCGGCACAGGCTCCAGTGCCAGCAGCACTGCTGCCCTACCCGCGAGCAGCGGTCTTCCCGAAGGTGGTGAGGGCTCTCACAACCCGCCCTACCTTGGAACTGGAACTGCTCCTTCAATTGCCACCGAAACCCCAGCTGCCGAGTTCCCTCCCACGTTCGATACCAGCAGCACAGAGGTTCCCCTCACTACCGCGCCCGCCTACGGCACTGGCTACCCGAACGCTGGCTCACCAACTGGCATCAGCTCTAGCCCTCTGGCTCTGTCTCCCTCCGGGAATTCCACCACAACTGCAGTGCCCACCTATTCGTCCGCTTCGGCGGGCACCATCGTGACCGAAACTTCCGTGTCCGAGGTCACCCACACCGTCACCGAGACCCTCACCTACACTGTCGGCCGTGGCAAGAACGCCCACCAGACCACCACCGAGATCGTCTCCACGTCCACCGAGACCATCTACCAGACCGTCACGGTCACCAAAGACAACGAGTATCCCGCACCCACTTCCTCGGCTGGTAAGGAGGACGAGATCACCGGCACCACCACTGTCAAGACCACGTCGACCACCTACAAGTACATCACCGTCCACCCGACCGGGGCCGCTCCCACCGGCGAGCAGGGTGCCTCTCCTTCCAAGAGCGGTTCACAAGGTGAGGGCGCTGACTGCCAGCCTCCCGTCACCGTAACCGTCACTGCTCAGGAGACCGTCACTGTCGTAAGTAGTCGTAATCGTTAATTCCGATATTCGCAGTACTAACCTATCCAAGACCGTCGGCAACGACACGCCCAGCCAGGAGACATCCCCGCCCGAGGAGGGCGAGGTGACCAGCACCACGCACATCACCACGACCCTCTACGTCACGGCCTCTCCCGTTGAGCAGCCTTCCCAGGGTCCCGCCCACCCCACCGGCCAGCCCGCCCCCTACTTCCCCATTCCCAACAACGGCACCCACCCCTCTGGCGGCGCCGCCGGTCCCACCGGCTTCCTGACCTCCAAGAAGCCTGCTCCTACGCCTGGCTACGGTAACGGCTACGGTACCGGCGAGGTTCCCGTCCCGACTGCCTCTGCTACCAGCAGTCTCCCTGCTGATTCCCTCCTGCCCTCCTCGCTGCCTGTTGTCGGTGAAGAGACTGCCGTGCCGACTGCAGGTGAGAAGGAGCCGAAGCCCACCGGGGCGTACGGAGGTGAGAAGGAGACGAAGACCACCGAGACGTACGCCGTGCCTACTGAGGGTTATGCCGCGCCTACTGAGGCTTATGGAGCTGGCTATAAGAAGCGCTGGGGCATGTATTAAGGTCCTAGGCAACGACATGCAATGATGAGGGGCTGGTGGTAGTTTAGATAGCGGTGCTTCTTCTACGCTACATAGTGTTGATGAGGGTGTGATGGGCCTGAGGTCTCTGCACATACTCTTTCTTTTCTTTGTCGGTGGCCTTTGCTGCTTTTCCATCCGGGGGTTTGGTGTCGGGAGGAGGGGTGAAGGGATTGTGTGTAGTTTGTTGAAGAATACGATCCTATCTTTGCGCTCTATTTCCTTCTCCCCTGACTCCCATTGCTGACTGTCGAGATAAATACTCGTACGTGTACTCTGTATAAGGACGGGCAAAGAGTTTTGCATCACCTAAAGACGGGGGTGTTCTTCTTGTAGCCTTTTTCGTTGGCCGTGCAGTTTACTTGCCGATTCCACATGTTGCTCTCCGTATTCACCGTGACAATTTCGATTTCTATCAATGTGCAGTTCTCTATGTAAGCATAATGATGCTGGCTTCGTCGATTCAGGCGTTATTGTGAGCGGGCAAGCGGACGGGCAGCCACGTAGTTCTGTACGACGATCCACGCTGTACTACCTCGGACACAGGGACGGTGTCGCATTCCGGGAAGCTAGATGGATGAGGGTGTGCACGACATAGAGTGGGTTCATCGCGTGCCCCAAAGTGGTGTGCTTCTGCAGCCTAAGTTTGGCGTGGTGGGTGTCGGTGACGGCCACGGTAAGGGTAACAGGTAGGTCAACAATGGCGGTAGCAGTTGCGGTGGCGATGGTGGTGATGGTAGTGAAGAGAAGTCGTGGCGAACCTTTAGAAGTGACCGTGACACCTCTGTAACTATGATATTGACTGGTGATTCTGCTCACCTCCATCGGACTCCATCATAGGCTTCCACTCCCCATCTGTCACTCAACATCCCGACCGGCTTCCAGACCCCGACCTTGTAATCAAGAACTGGACCATCATCGTCGTCATTAGCAGCAGCATCATCGTCACGCCGCCTATTCGCAGTCTAGGCAAAGGGCACAAGAGTCCTACATCACTGTGAGTCCTGTTCGATTTGGGAGACAAGGTAGGAAAGAACATCGTCTTGCGAGCCTGACTTTCAGGTAAAGATAGTTGAAGAGTTGTAAGGAAAGAGGAATGTCGGGGGAGGTGGCTGCTTTATATACCCTTGCCTTGAGCTCCTGTACGGAGAACCTCGAAGACCAAACCCCGACCTTGATTCAAGTTAAGGTTACATGTTCGCGTCGTCGTATTTTGGGGACTTTTTGTCAACATTAGCGGGGAGACGCCCACCAGCACCGAGCTCCTCATTTCAAAAAGTTTGAACACATTAAGAAAGCGTCGGTTTTCGAGCTCTTCGTGGAACGACCATGAAACGCCTGTCAACTCGATTTAGGAACCCTAGATAGATGATGGATTTTACCATCACTAAAGTACTCCTCGCAGTCGCGAAATGCCTTAACGACAGGAAAACACAGCGTCCGCAGAATCCAGGACGGCAGACGGCCATTCGTCCTCCGAACCTGATTTTTTTGAGAAAACCAAGCAGAAACAAACAGAGGGGGCAACCAGTGAGGGGAAAGAGATATTGAGGGGAAAACGACGGTCTTATATATGAGCGACCAAGGTGACAGAGACATTTTCGCTTTCGAGATCACCTTACTGAGACACGTGGGTTAGTTGGAGTGCAGAGCCCCCTACAGATGTCAGTTATCAAGGTTGGCTTAACACATACATAAAAATGGTTGTGTTTCGAAAAGTTCTCTACTGATAGAGAGCATTATCTTCATCAGCATCGTTATCATCACTCAAATATACCTCCTCCAAACTCAGGAACGACAAGCGATGCACTATGCTCTCATTCAGTTAACAAATCACGGTTAGGAGAACCCTTAACATAGACCGAGTATTTCATCATTTTAGGAACAAAGCAAGAGTTATTGAAAGTAAGTAGGAAGAAGAGATCACGTACAAAGGGGTTTATATATGTCAATCGCGATTGACAGCTACGAGATTCTGTTTTATAAGCACTCCGAGAGTTCAAGATGTACTATATGTGTGAAATACACATTGCCTTTTCAACTCACCCTACTGATAAAGATGATCATCACTCAATCGTATTCGTGAAACGATGAATGGCGCTATCTCGACAGCGGACTCCCGGGATAGCAAACAGCACATACCGTCATATACGCCAGATTTGAGTAATAAAACGAAGAGGAAAGTTGATAGAAAGGAGTCTAGAATATCAGAAACAGAGCAGTTTATATACGTTACTAGCCAAACGCGGGCACAACATTCGAAGTGACTCTGATATACGAACATGCACATCATGCAGCCAGGTGCGACAAACTCAGGCGCTCGATCTGTGATGCAGATGACCATCATTATCACCCCTATCGTACGCGAAAAGTTACAAATAGTTGCTAGTCCAAATGACGCAAGCCTGGGACGGCGAACAACATAGGAGGCTGATGTCCGACGTTTTTGCGTAAAACGATGCAGACAGTTGAGGGTGTAACAGTAAAAGGAGCTTAGAGATAACTAAAGGTTTATATAGTTTGGTGGTCGCATATCCAAGACTAGGTTGTGACTGGAAGGGCGTCTTAAATTCTGACATGTTCATAATGAACGGAACATGTGAAAGGTAACTGCTTGGACATAGTTAGAGTGGAGAACGTCAATCATCTGAAAAAGAGCACATGCATGAGCTCCGCTAGGATTTGAAATTTATAAAGCATAATGCCACTTTCGCTATGCTACTAGCTGGACAATGATGAACTGCATCGTCACTTCAACGGCTCTAGATCGAAGACATTGCCGTAGACACGGAGTGAGGCAACCGCACGTCTCATGAACACTCATGTCCTGAAAGAGAATATGCTGATAGTAGAGTGTGAGAAGGAGAGATGGTAGGGGTAGTAGGGCTTCATATTTGCTGCATGGCTAAGAATCAAGGCCTAGTGAAGGGACCTCTATCACGTTCAAAGAGAGGATGACAAGACCATGTTCTTGAGGAGCGAACTTCGACACCACCAGAACGCACTCACAAAAAAGACATCAGATAAGGATAAGAGAGGATAGTTTATGCATTACAAATCCCACTCACTCTGTACAGACAACTCCCCCACGTCTCCATATCTATATCTAAACAGTGATATACCGCTAAGTCTAGACACAATCTAAACAAGCCCTCTCCGGAGGACGAGAGGTATTATGCGCCTGACCCATGCATTGAGAAAAACCGCTAAAAGGACTTTTCCGAACCTCCACCACGCTTTTAAACCCCAACCAAAGAGTGGAACGCCGGGACATCCAAACGTAGATGTCCATGTAAAATGATTATGTCGAGATCGCTGGAAATGCAAGCAGACGCCAAGTCGAAGACAAATATTCCGGAAGCTTCAAGATGCAAAATATGGAACCGTGACGGACATAAGGCGGGTGAGGCGGGAGATCATCGAGATGCTATAACCGTGCTTCCTGCAGAATCTTGGACTTCTGCTGCAGCTGGATGATGTCACGCTGTTCGGCGAAGACCTCCCTAGCGCGCTGCAGGACCATCTCGAAGCCCTCCCTGCCCCTGGCGGCGTTCTGTTGGAACCGCTCGACGGTGAACTGCTCGATGCTGTTCTTGATCTTTTGCCATCCACCGCACAGGGCTGTGATCTCGGCACGCTGCTGGAAGGTGGTCTTCGCGTGCGGGGCGGATGATGAGGGACGGTAGACGCAGGTCTCGCGCACGTTGAGGAGATCCGACCAGGTCATATTCATGGAGCACAGCGTGACCGTCTTCGCCTTGGGGTCGACGTAGGAAGTCTCATAGACCAGCGATGTGTCTTGGCCACCGAGGATGGAGTTTATCCACTTGGGTGTGGACTGTCGGCAAGTGATGAGGCGTTCAGTGCGGAGCTGCAATTCCGACGCGTTAGCATGTGACAATGTTTGGGAGGCGAGAAGTCACTCACGATGCCCGTCGCAGGGTCAACCGTCCGACTGAGGGTGTCGACAGCAATGACATGCGGCGTCTTCTCGTTCCAAGGGCCGTACTTGACCCAGTTGGACGTGGACACTTCCTCCCACGAGTAGTCAAACTCGGTACTCTGCTGGAAGATCTTCATTCTGCGGTCCGCGTCCGGGACGGGTTCGGCGAGACGATGAAGGGCGCGGTGTAGTCGCTGGCTTGACGGGGGCGACGGTTCTCGCGATTGACGGTGTGGGAGATGGATGTTTTGTGTCGTGTGGGGGGTGAGGAGTCAGAGGAGAGGGTGATAGGGAGGGCAATAAAAAAAGAATGGACGTCTCGGCAGTGAAGGCGCTAGGGCCAATGGTGTAACCGGAATCGCGATATCGGTGCTCGGGGAACCTCGGAGAAATAGCCGAAGGGTTTGCAGGTTTTATGCAGCTGTTCAATTCGACTTTTGATTGTATTTAAAAGAATGTATGCATGCAATGCTGAGCACGCGACCTGTATATATATAAAGGAAAGTGAGAAATTGGGTCTTTGATTGTCGATTGTGGGGGAAGTGTCCGCTTTTAGCATGCTTCAAGCGTGGAGGCGTGTGGCGTTAGTCAGCCCGATTCTGTCCGATGACGTTGTTGCATGAGGGAACCACACAAACACGTGCGAGGACTTCACTCTGTGACCATCACCTTCCCATAGGGCCGTGATACGCCAGCTTCTTGAGCTACTGCTAGACTCTTGTGGATCTCCGAGGCTTGTTCTTTCGAAATGTGGCAAGGGAACGCCACATGCGCAAACGACCCACGCCTCGGGACGGAGATCAGGAGCAGCAAGACAAGAACAGAGGGGGTAATGGAAAGGAAGAACTAGTAGGTTTATGTCGAGAACGGGACGAATAACCGTCAGATTCAGAATACCAGACATTATCCCTTACTGTGGCACATTCGAGCCATGATCTTCCACCACGTCTAAAGTTCAATGCTTAACGATACAGGTCCGCGGAGCTCTACCATCGTTGCTCAACGCGGAGGTAAAAGTACAGAGTTGTTATAGAAATATAGTACAACATGCCGTGAACCGCAATGCCTGATTCGCGCCAGAGCGGGGTATATAGCGGAGCAGAGAAAGGTACCAACGCCGAAAAATGCGAATTCGTAAGCATCGTTAGGAGGAGGAGACGCCAGCAGCTCTCAGTGCACATTCGACCGCTTCTCTGCGGTCCCAAAAGTACTGGCGTATCCACGTAGCCAGCATGTCGATGGCGGCCAGGGGAGACGAACTGGTCCAGATGTTCTCATGGCGCGCCCATTGAGTCTCTTGCCATGTGGTCTCCGGAAATCGTCTCTGGAGGGCGGGGAGGAGAAAGGAAGGTCCTGTGGCTTTTTTGCCGTGAAGAACGCCAGATTGAATGAGTGGGAGGATCCCGGATGCGATGCTGAAGACCGCAATCGTGTTGTTGCTGAGGATTCGACCTCTGATGAACATAGCGGCTGATAGCGGCAGCTCGGCCGCAGATAAAGTTCCCGGAATGAGCAAAATATCGAGCGGCGGAGCATCTTCGAAGGAGTTCTGGTGCGGACGTCAGCCCTGAGCTTTTCACAGAGAAGCAAAATGACTGGGGATGTGGACGGGGTAGGGTGTAACCTTTTCTCCTCGCCAGAGTCGTTCGGGCGGCCCAATCAAGCTCAACCAGGGCGAGTCCGGCGCGACCAAGCACTCTTCTTGGTCGAAAGGAGCGTTGGCGTAATTGCTAAGTCGATTGGTATGACGGGTCGCTCACCGTTACTGGCATGCGAGCGCCAGAGGTGACTGAAAACGAGCCCTCTCCGCTCTCGCTGATATAGCGAATGTCCATCTCGTCTACAGAAGCTTCCAAGACGCTTGTTGAGGCACTCATCTTGCTAATGCAGTTCCGGCTCACCATTGTAAGGAGGTCAATGGCTGCCAGGTCGAGCAACTGATGTTGATCATGGCCCAGGATCAAGACTCCAACCTTCAGGGAAGATTTCGAAGGGGAAGTGTGATGCAACTCGAGATCGTCCTCGGATGTGGAAGATGTTGTGCACAAGTAGAAGAGCTCTGCTTCGGTGGGGAACTGCGGATAGTCGTTCGGCGTAGACGGCATAGAGACGAATATTATACAGAGGGACTATTGAAACAAGACTGGAACGCTGCGTATGTACTCGCACTGGAGGGACTGTAGAATGGAAAGAAACATGTGTCTGGAGTTGCAGCCTGAGGCCCCAAGACCCATCTCTTATATGCTTCGAGCGGATAACTGAATCGCGGAAAGCAGCCATATAGGCACCGTAGACAACTTACTCTACGCGTCAGATTGCATCACATGGGTGGCCTGCAGGATACGAATCCTGCAAAATACGAGCTTCTCGCTACCAAATCCAGCCGTTTCATGGCCGGGTACTCCGCAACCTTCTTTGGCTTCCAATCTTGAAGCGAAATCATCCGGAGGCTGAAAACACCGCGCCAATGCAAAGCATCATTGTTAGCTGGAGAGCCAGTTTCTGGCTGCAAACCCAAAGGAGCCCGTACGGAGTATACTTCTCTCCATTGTTGCAATATTCGTGATAGTTGTCCGTTACGGAGGATGCAATTTCCACATGGACGACTGATGACGACTTCAAGCCAGGCAGCACAATTCGAGAGGCTCCTGTTGAACAGTCTGTGATAACCGTTGCAGGGTGGCCTCGGAAGCGGCATGCCGCGTCTGACGGCATGGAAATGGCGTCTGGAACCGAAGGAGAACCTTCGATGACTCTAAGTAAGATGAAAACAGTTGTGGCTGTGATGGGCAACCGTGGGGGAGCCCGGATCGCTTGGACAGCAGCAGAGACGGGATGAGTCCTAGGGAGCTTCCCACCTGGGTGAAGCGGAAATGGCTCAGGCACAAATTCAGGCAGTCATCTGCCACTGGATAGAAGAAAGAGTGAGTCACTCACAGTAAGGTTGATGGATGATTAGAAATTTCTTCTATGGAATTGCGAGATTCCGATCTCTCCCGTTCCACGTGCACAGTTACAGGTCTTGGCGAGGGGGTCTCAGTACCTCCGTAGCAGGTCAATGTCGACCAAGCGGTAGTGACGGCGTTGGCAACCTCAGCTGCGTCGGAGTGACCGAACTCCAGTTCGGTGGAATTGGAGATCAATCACTTGCACCGGTCTTGGGCTCAAAAGTGAGGTATGAGTGATTCCAAAAGCCGACAAACCCTGAAATTCCACCAAATATCCTAACTCCATAGCTAACGCAGCATAGCCCGTTCGCAAGACCTCATCCGGAGCGTCTGCAATTGGCCTGACGCAAAACGCAGATAATCGCCCTCATGTAGGTAACCCAAACTCGGAATGAATCGCCATGACGTCCAATTCGACTTATACTGCCATAACCTGTCCGTCCGCCTCTGCCGACTTCACGGTTTTCCCAGTCTTCTTGATCTTCTCGAGAACGGTGTTGAAGTCGAGCGACTCGGCGGCAACGACTTCGGCCGTTTGCGTGTCAAGGGAAACCTTGTGCGATTTGACGCCTGGGATGGAATTAGCTGCGTGTTTGTATGGTACGGAGTTCTATTCCGACCTTCAAGCTTGTTGAGGACACGCTCCACCGCGCCGGAACAGCCGCCGCAGCTCATAGCGATTTCGAACTTGTATATATGCTCAGCCATAGTGATGGATTTGGTCGAACAGCGAACGTCTCCGGCTCCGGGAGCGAGCAGTTGGTGCGGTTGATTTGTCAGAGACGTGAAATGTGTGTTGAGGAGGAGGGTAAAAGGACGGGTTGGGCAGCGGTGGCTTTATAGATGCTCTCCGTACCTGCCGGAAGGCCACTGCGCCGAGGTTTCATGCCATCTTTGAGAAGATGGTGTAATCATCAACTTATTATAGTATATTGCTAGCTCATACAATCTGTTGGTACATCGCAAATATCTCGCAAAGCTGCTCTTCGGTGTTTCATTCAGCAATGTATTACAATGGAGGGGCATTGTGGCGTTAAACTTGCTCACTGAGGCTGAGAGGGGTCTCCGTTCAAGCCCTCACTGGTTTGCGGATTATTACTTGTATTCACCTCTGCAACTATGCAGGCGTTGGCACAACATGTTGATGAGTACTCCGTACTGTGTACTAAAACCACGACGCGAAACTTTCCTATTCCAGCATTGAGTACCTAGATAGACCTCCCCCAGAGCAACCGTACCGCTAGCCACACCAACTGCGCCACATACAACGCCACAATTCCCGTTTTGGACGTCGCCCCGCGCCCCGCCTGCAGGTGCCTTTTCGTCCAAACATCTTGCGGTAAACAACGTTGCGCCGAATTTCTCCTTACCATGATCCATGGCTTCGAGGTGATTTGAATTCGCCAGATTGCGTTTTGACTGACAACATGTCGAGCAATATCCTATTCCTACCGTTCCGACGGTCCCATTCGGTCTCCCTCTCCGCAGCCGTCAAGCAATATATATCCTCCAAGTATGATCAACATCCGGACATGTTCACCAAAGATCTCGAGGCGATTGAGAAGCTACGGTCCACAGCGATACATGCACAGGAACCCCATCCAAGCAACATACCAAAGCTCCTACAATATGCTGCGCAGCTGGTTTGGATCAGTGGGAAATTTCCCATCGATTTGGGAGTCGACTTTCCGTGGTATCCTGCGCTTGGATACAACACCAACCGTCCCATTTCTCGAAATAATATCCGTTTCGAGCTGGCGAACATAATATACAATGTTGCGGCAATGTACTCGCAACTGGGGATGTCCTCGAATCGAAGTACGCAGGATGGACTGAAGGTCGCTGCCAACAATTTCTGCCTCGCGGCCGGTGTCCTCTCTCATCTCCGGGAGAACGTCCTACCCGACCTACGCACATCGCCTCCCGAAGATATGGATAATATGACGCTGGATAGTTTGGAGAAACTTATGCTGGCGCAAGGGCAAGAGTGCTTTTGGCAGAAGGCTGTGAAAGACGGGATGAAGGATGCGACAATTTCCAAGCTCGCAGCGCGTGTGTCGGACCTCTACAATGAGGCCATGGACGCCGGAATCAAGTCCGACGCCATAAGCAGCGAGTGGATACACCATATGGCAGCAAAGCATCATCACTTCGCCGCTGCCGCACAATACAGGGCCGCATGCGATTGCCTGGAGAAGCGCAAGTACGGGGAAGAGGTGGCAAGGCTGCGGGACAGTCTCACTTGTGTGAACGAGGCGCTTAAGGAGCAGCGATACATCATCAAGAGTGTGTTAGCTGATCTGAACGCATTGAAAAGTCGTGTTACCGAAGATTTGAAGCGAGCCGAGAAGGATAACGACCTGATCTATTTGATACCCGTACCTCCAAAATCCGACCTCACGATCCTTGATCGAGCGAACATGGTGGTGTCCAGAGTTCCGAAAGAGATATCTGACTCAAACTCGCTGTTGGGTGAGAACAAGGAGCTAGGTCCTCCGTTATTCTCAAAGCTAGTGCCTTATTCTGTTCACCTGGCGGCTAGCATATACGTAGATCGGCGAGATCGGCTGGTCAACAGTTCGATCATCGAGGAGCTTGAGAACCTCACTGCACAGATTCACGAAGTCTTGCGGACTCTCAATCTTCCTGGGTCCCTTCAGGCCCTTGAGAAGCCGCTCGGGCTTCCACCAGGCCTTATTGCACATGCAGAAGAAATTCGTCAACAGGAGGGGCTGAGTCGCTTACGGGCCTCAATGGAGGATACCAAGAAGCTAAAAATGAACGATCTTGCGATCTACCACGAGGCCTGTGATATTCTCAAAACCGAAGCTGCAGAGGACGAGGCAGCGCGACGGAAATATGGAACCAATCAATGGACACGACTGCCATCAGAGCAGGCTGCGCCCAGGCTCTTCGCTCAAATCACGGAGATCGATGGCTATCTGAAGTCCGCCGCCGACAGCGATAAGGTCGTCAAGCAGAAGCTCAAAGAGAATGAGTACCACATCAAGCTATTGAATGGCCCGGACCATGACCTGGAAAACTTCGTGCCCAGTGGCAGAAGGCCAGTCATCAATGGGGACGTGGAGCGAGCAGCGGGGAAGCTAAGAGGGTGTTTCAATGAAGTCAGCCGGCTGGAGAGCAGACGACGGAGGAAGATTGAAGCGTTACGGGCAAAGGCAAAGCAAGATGACATCAGTAAGTGCCGCGCTTGTTTCGAAGTATGTCGCTCACAGTGACAGATCCGGAGCTCTTGCAGGAAGCTGCGCGCTTGGAGCGGGAGTATCCTATGCAGACTATCGAGGCAGTACAGTTCGAGAGCCTGTTCGACAAACGCCTGCAGATGTACGATGTTGATCTGGACATGGTGAAGGAAGAGGCGCAAGAGCAGCAAGAAGCTCTCAAAAGCTTGCAAGAAGCGAATGCGGCATTCATAAACGCGCGAAGAGGCGACCAATCTACGAAACAGCGAGAACAAGCTTTACAAAGCCTAGAAAATGCATACTTCAAGTACAAGGAGATCATCTCCAACTTGGATGTTGGACGGAAGTTCTACAACGATCTTGCGAAGATTGTGAACAGATTCCGGGATGATGCTCGAAGCTTCGCATACCAGCGCAAGTCGGAGGCGTCTCAGATAGAAAGGTGAGTTAGAGCTGATGCTGAATGCTTGCGGATGCTAACATCGCCCACAGTGATCTCGCCACAGCGATGAGCTCCCTCAATCTGCATCAGACAAACTCCAACTCTCTGCGACAACAACGCCAGGACGATGCGCAGAATCCCCAGTACGGCATGGACGCTCACGCTGAAGAGCCCCTCGCCGCACCAACACCTACACGCGCCAGCACCGGTCCACACACCAGCATGTGGTCGCCTGAAGTTGGCATTCGGTTTGCGAACGTGCCGACAGCTTCGGGCAATGCCCGACCTGCCAACGGGCCTCCGCAAGATGCTCGATGGGACCCATCGAAGGGTCTCAGGTTTGGATGAGAGGAGGAAGATACCTGTATGGATATCGGAAGAGGTATGATGTACATAGCAGATGCCTTTTCGATAACCATCGCGCATATCCATTTCTATAAATACGATACAACGTGCTGAGTGTACGTCCCTTACCAGTACAATGGATAGGGTGTACTGCGCCTTTTCAGGTCACCTACTGTGGTATCCGGCCGAAGTAGTGTAGCTGGTCCGGGCACGACAGGGGTGTTTAGCTAATGTATTCAAATGACACTTTTCCACATCTGTCTATTGTTACATACAAACTTCAGTACTTCGTGTGACCTCCTTCCGCCTCAATCACAGCTTGGCAACGAGCTGGCATACTATCAATGAGCTCTTGAAGCACTTCCACTGTGATTGACTCCCACACCTCCTGAACCACCGTACGCAGTTGATCATACGTAATTTGCCTCCCTCCCTCTTGCTCAGGGTAGAATTGCTCTATAGAGTCCTTCATCTTGTTCCACACAGCCTCAATCAGATTTAGGTCGGGAGAGAATGCTGGCCAGAAGATTGGTTGGATACTCCTTGATGAGAGCTCCTCCATTGTATACGCAGCTGAATGCCCAGGTGCCCTATCTTGCATGAACTTAAGGTGAGGATTCAGGCATAGCCAGCCATCAATAAGAGGCACAATTCGATCACAGTAGCTCTCTTTGTTGATCGACTTCCATTCTTTCTTCCAGAAGAGATGAGGGCCTTTTCACATGCCTGAGAAGCATGCCTAAAACACCCATCCATACTTCTTACGAATTTTATCTACCAAGCACATATATCATCAAGCTCCTCTCCTGGTTTTCTTGTAACCCATTGTTTTCGATGCCATCTACCAGTTATCCAGGTCTCATCACTCCATAAGATCCTCCACCACTCCCACGGCTGCCAGTTGATGTGAGCTTGTGCCCACTCAAGACGAATCTGCCGATTAGCCTCAGTAAGGGGTGGCTTAGCTCGAGCTACACAGCGTCTGTACCCTCTTCTTCGTAGAGCACTCCTATTGTGTATTCACCAACGCCCCAGTGCTCAAAGGGGCCCTGAGCAAGTTGGAGATAGCTCATTTATCGGGTGTTGCGGGATGATCGGATGTACGCCTCAAGCTCATCAACTTGGGCATCAGTAAGATGAGGCAGACGACCGGAGCACTTTTTAGGTGTGACGAAGTTCTTGGTTACTGCATAACCAACTTGTCGTTTAGTGCAATTAAGCTGGTTCACAATAAATGTGTAGCTATGGCCTGCTTGATGTAGGGCACGGGCCTCAACAATCTCATCGCGAGTGAGGTATCGGTGGTGGTGGTGAGGAGGTGTAGATGGGGCTTCAGGCATCGTGTTGATGGTAGGTAGATGCACGACGCGACAGAGGTACGCGGAGTTCTATACAAGATAGGGGCGCTACTCGTATTTTTGTCTGTAATAACATTTGATTACATGGTCCGAGTACCCTTGTCGTGCGCGGACCAGCTACACTACTTCGGCCGGATACCACAGTA